GCCTCAAAATCACTCCTCCTCATCCTCAATCATGCCGAGGACGTCCAGCTCGGTCTTCACGAGCCGCTCAAACTCCTCCCTGTCAATGCCAGACGAGCGTGCCAGCAGGAAGAGGCTGCGAAGGCTTCTGGACACGTGCTGCTTTACACCGAACTCATTCGCGCCTTGCTTCTCGGCGGTCTCCTCAAGCTTCTCAACCATGCGGCTTCCGTTGCTGCTGGCGCTTGATGCCGGGCGGGGGTGGAGAAGTACGGCCGCCCGGTCCTCGTCTTGGCTGTGGATGGAGGGCGAACGCGGCGGCTCAGCCATCGTCCAAGAGCCGTTGGTTTCGGTGAGTCCCGCCTCTGAGATGTCTTGGCTGACGACGGTACCCAGACCCAAAGGCGGTGCGACATCGAAGCCCTCGACCTCCTCGTCGGGATCGTGAGCATCCATCGCCGGCTGCACAGAATCGTATTGCGCATAGTAGGCATCCTCTGCCGAGTCTGTCCGGAACGCACCGAGCTGCGACGCCTGTGATGCGTGTGGTGCGGGGGAGCGCTTGACTGCTGGCGTTCGGTTGGCGGGCGTACGAGCAGGCGTCGCGTCGTATCGGTCCCAGTAGCCATCATCCTCATCCTCGTCGGCCTCGGCGGCGTCAAAGCTTGCAGCCGGGGTTTTGGAGATGCTCGTCTTCGATGCCTTGTCGTCTGCATGGGCCTTCTCAGCCTCGGCGATGGTCGAGTAGCCACCAAAATCGCCGAACGGAGCGTTCTTGTCGACAACGCTAACCTCGCCGACCCTCCAGCCGTCACCGCCGCCGTCCTTGTCGCCAACGCAGTAGATAAGACGAAAAGACAGTTCGAGCTCCTCGAGTACAACGAGTGCTTGCAGCGTCTCCAAGTCGAGTCGCCTGTATCGCGTCTTCGCATCGTACTCCCAGTCCACCTCGACCTCGCCTGATACAGGATGGGGTTCTAATCTACCGCTCTGAACGATCTCGGCCAGTCTTGCGGCCTTGTCTGTGTCGTAGGCAAGCAAGCGAATCCAAGGCTCAGTGCTAGACTCTGAAAGGAGCTGGACTCTTTGCCTCAGGATTGGGCTAAGCAGCGGCAAGACGCCGATGGCCGGCTGTGTGGAGATAGAGGCAGGAGGCAGGGCGGGCAAGATGGGGGCCAGCAAACCGCCGATGTTGGGCATGGGCGGTGATGTTGTCGTCGCCATTGTGGTTATGATGTTGGATGTAAAGGTTGGTGGTTTGGGGCTCCTCGTCAACACTCCTCGCGGGGGATACGTAGAGTGTTATATGGGAGGCAAGGGGCGGTGGCCAAGTCACAGAGGCGGCGGTAGTAGTAGTAGTAGTAGTAGTAGTAGTAGTAGTAGTAGTAGTAGTAGTAGTAGTAGTAGTAGTAGTAGTAGTAGTAGTAGTAGTAGTAGTAGTAGTAGTGCGGATGGCCAGGTGTACGGTAAGGTAAGGTAGGTAACGATATCACATGCAGCCACTGCTGGGGGTAGATGGGTGTCTTGCTGGTCAGCCTGACTCGGAAATCTCTGCCTTGGCGTATCGAAGTTGGTTGAGTTGCAAAGTAGGTATTGAGAGAGCAGAAGGATAGGATCGTGACGACACAAGGGGAAGTCGCGTCTATAATAAAGAAAACGGAAAAGAGGAGGAGAGGAAGGCGGGCAGAAAGTCTAACTCGGTCGAGTCGACGGGGCTGTTACGCAGGCGGAACGGCAGTCGGCGGTGCCATGGGCGAGCTTGAGGTGCAGTGTCCAGTTGCAGTGTAGTGTCCAGTGTCGTGTCGTAGGCTCCGTGTGGCTCCTGCCCCATCCAGGGCTGGACTGGGTTTTCCCGCTGGTCGCGCATCGAGTTCAGCGTTCGGTCGGGGGGCTGCTCCCCACACTGAGGGGCGGCCGGGACGCCAAGACTGGCGGTTCCAGCCAATGCGGAGGCACCTCAAAGGCAATTGCGACTCCGCCTAGGGGAGTCGTCTCGGACGGAGGGAACCACTAGCGATGAGCCAATGACCTTGCCGCATCTTGCTTAGGAGCAGGCCGCTCGAGCGCAGAGACGAGCCAACTTTGGCACGTGTTACTGGAGCCCCCAGAATCAGAATCCGGGTGAAGCTGCCCACTTGCCTCGACTTGCCCTTTTTTGGGTCGTCTTCCATTCGTCTCAACTTCGCTGGTTTCTTACCCCGACGACAGGGAAGTACATTGTGGCCATGCTGGACCTCGAGAGTACCCTCCATGTCCATCTGTTGCCGTCCCTCGCTGCCGTACACCTGGTCCTTCGCTGCAAGTTCAAGGTACCTTGCTGCCTACACTACTCGAGTGCCCCTCGAAACAGCCAGTTGCCGGGCATTGATGAGACAAAGACATTTGTCAGGACGCTTCCATGGGATATTCACATTACGATACTTTTTCCAAACATTCAAACATGTCTTGGTGATTGTCTACCTACCGACATCGTCCTTCTTTCCGAGTCCTGATAAAATTGTTTCTTCTCGGCAACTCCTCCTGACTGAGGCGTTCCCCTCTCATCTCTTTCAGATGCTAATCCAGATGGGTAGGTTGCCAATCAGTGTCGTCAGAGCTGGCGGTGGTCACAGGACCAAAGCAGTCACGAGAGCATGGACAAGCACGCAGCCTCGTGGTTCTGATGAGATCAAAAAATTCCTCCCAATTCTTGCACGTCTCGCAACGAGTCCCGTGAGATGGCAACCTGCTCTCGTCGACCATCAGTCCAAATAAGACTTGCATTTGCATCTTGCATCCGCTCTCTCTACGTCTTTGATCTCCTTCGCATGGCCCGCACGGGTGAAAGGGACCAGACCCTGCGTGGCTATGCCCACTAAATTTGCATGGAGAAGGCGGGTGCCCTTGCTACAGTGACGCCCGCAGTGGGGTTCCAGCGCGCTATCTCTCCCAAGATGCAGTGGTAAATCTCCCTGACAGCGCGCTACCATCAGCATTGCGTCACAGTGCTTGGGGGGTCCCGGGCGTGGTGGACGGGAGCTATCTCACCCAAGATGTCCATCTTAGGTAACCAGAAAAATTCCCACGCGAGCGACGAACAGACGTCCAACAGAATTGAGATTAGCCAAAAAGAACAACATCGAAACGAACAGCGGACAGACCCTCGACATTCGGTTTCTAGCCATCACCGGGACAATCCTCAAACAAGTTTCTACTCAATTGAGACCCCTCAGCCTCACTCGCTGGAGCCGCCATCTGGTTGTTTCGACTTGCCGAGCAGTGCCACGCCGATAGAACTGCGGGAAGACGCCCCGTCGTTGAGATCTCGGACCGCACCGCTTGGACGAACTCCCACAGACACGCGACTCATCTGACCCTGATAAACCTCGTCCTACGGTCCCGAAAACAAGTCGCGCATCTCCGACGACCACCACGAGCTGCCCTGCCAGTCTCGCCCTCCCTTCACACGCCTTCTACGCAGGTCCCCACGAGGACACAGCCGGATGCATGTCGCCCAGCGGCGAACGCCTCAAAGATGAGGTAAGGCGGCACTGCCCCCAGGAACGGCCTCTCCGATTTCGCTGCTGTCATGTCTACATGTGCTGTCGAAACGTCACGATGCTTACACACTGTCCGCCCAGGGCTCCCGCCTGCAGGTTGTAACGGCCGGCGCCACCGCCGGTCTGTTTGCACGGTATGCCGTCCATCATCTGCCAGACGGGAAGTCAAAAACTTGTGACCCAAAGCTGACTTGAATGGGAAAGCTTTGTAATCGCTCCCCTCGATGTCGTCAAGATCCGCCTCCAGCTGCAGTCACACTCGCTCTCCGACCCTCTGTCGATCCAGACCGCCAGGGGCGGGCCCGTGTACAAGGGCACTCTGAATACCATGAAGCTGATCATCGCGAACGAGGGATTTACAGGCTTGTGGAAGGGCAACGTACCAGCAGAACTGATGTACGTCTGCTACTCGGCAGTCCAGTTTACGACCTACCGCACAACGGCCCAATTGCTCCAGAGTGCCTCCGATAACCGACTACCCAACGCCGCCCAGTCTTTCATCGCCGGAGCTACTGCCGGAGCTGCCGCCACGACGACCACATATCCCCTCGACCTACTGCGGACTCGCTTTGCCGCGCAGGGGAACGAACGGGTGTATACTGGACTTCGGCACGCCGTCACCGACATCTACCGTGACGAAGGACCCCGCGGCTTCTTCCGAGGGCTTGGGCCCGGTGTGGCGCAGATCGTACCGTACATGGGCATATTCTTTGCATTGTATGAAGGTCTGCGCTTGCCGCTAGGGGATTTGCATCTACCATGGGGCGGTGGCGACGCCACGGCTGGTGTTATGGCCAGCGTCATGTCCAAGACAGCCGTTTTCCCCCTTGATCTGGTTCGGAAACGTATTCAGGTGCAAGGCCCCACGCGATCCCGATACGTGCACAAGAACATTCCCGAGTATCCCGGGGCGGTGCGTGCCATGCGAATGATCTTTGCAAGTGAAGGCATACGGGGATTGTACCGCGGTTTGACGGTCAGCCTTATCAAAGCCGCTCCAGGAAGCGCGGTTACGGTGTGGACTTATGAGAGGGTCCTAAGAGTGTTGATGAGATTAGAAAATTCTGATGAGAAGCGATTTTGACTTGGGAAAATGGAACATAGAAGGGCATATGATACCCAATTATAGAACACAGGTTCGGGCTTCGTTGAAAAGCGGCGGCTCTGTTTGAGCAGAGCAGTAACGGAAACCACGAAGTTTCCAAAATAGAGTCACATCTAGACCTAATACATATCCAATTGGGTTCATGTTGACGGAGTAGGAAAACATGAGCGTGAAGCAAATTGCGCTGCTGAGACTGATGCTCAGCGTTCGGAGTCGGAGCTCTTTTCACCCTCACAAACTTCTCGTCGCACCGTGAGTGAGAGTTCTTGGTAAAGCGCTGAAACTTGTTGGTCTATCAATGCTGAACGCAGACTCGCTAGACAATCGCGACTTGACACGGCGTATGCTACCCAGACCTCGCACCAGCAGACAGCCTTTTAGTTCTCCAGAAGACCATTCTCCTTCAACCCCGTCACCTCACCGGCATTGACCCGATCCGCCCGCTCCGTACACTCCTCGATGACCTTCCAGAACATGGGAATGTCGAGACCGCGGGGTATCCTGACGCCCTCGCTGCCCGGCTCCAGCAGCTTCGCAACCGTCCTGCCCAGCTGCGCCTTGCCCTCCTTCGCATCCTCGAGAGACCCCTCCGTGATGACGGTCAGGTCGAAGCGCTCGTGGTACTTTACGCAGTTGCCCTTCTTGGTGTCGAAGTCGTAGAAGGGTATCTCGTGCTTGGTACCCGTGAGGACGGCGGCCACGGCAAGGGGGTCGTGGAGGGGCGGGCCGGCGGTGATGCCGAAGACGTCGCTGTACCGCCAATCAGGTTTCCATACACATACACAAGCATATCATCATACATACCTATACGTCTTGGCAAAGAACATGAGAAGCTCGACCAGCATCTGCCGCAGCGTGGTCTTGCCCTTGCCCGTCTTCTCGCCGGCAGCGTCCTTCCCGTACAGCAGCAGCTCCCTCACCTCCTCCGTGGCGAGGACCTGGTGCGACAGGTCGAGCGGGACGAGAGTCGTCTTGGCCGCGAGGGCCTTGTTGTGGAACACGGCGGCGGCGGCCTCCGGGTCGATGATGATGTTGAACTCGGCCCAGGGCGTCCAGTTGCCGACGCGCGCGACGCCGTCGACCTTGCCCATGACGATGTCCGTGAAGCCGTCGCCGATGGCGCCGCCCATGATGCTCAGCCCCCTGATGTGGGCGACGAGGTCCGGGTACTTTGCGAAGAGCTGCGCGACGTTGGTCAGGGAGCCCGTGGCGACGAGCCAGGCGGTGCCGGGCGCCTGGGCGGAGAGGGCGGCGGCCATGGCGTCGATGGCCGGGGTGGTGCGGTCGGCAGCCTTCAGGGGCTGCGGGAGGAGGTCGGTTCCGTCGAGGCCGGATTCGCCGTGGATATCGGTGGCGGCTTGCATGGGCGGCCGGGCCATGGGCTTGGCGGCGCCGACGTAGACGGGGATGTCATTGTGCTTGCCGATCGCCGTGAGGATGGACGAAGCGTTGGCGGTTGTCTTTCTGGGATGTTGTTAGAATGAAGCACTCATGCGTAAGTACGAGAGGGGTGGCATCGTGTGTATGGCTCACTCTAGGGGGGCGTTTCCGAAGACCGTTGAGAGGCCCAGTAGCTTGATTGTGGGGTGGTAGGCGGCCAGGAGGATGGCGAATGTGTCCTGGTGAGGTTCGGTCAGCGTGAATTTGGTTTCCGTACAGGCCTATAGTGGCTAAGTGCAGTGTCGTGCATGACTTTTTTGGCATGCGGCGTGTGAATGTGAGACTCATGAGGCATGCAGGTTCATCATGGCCCCCTCACACCACACAACATGATGGCGGCGGCAACTCACATCGTGGCCTGGGTCGCAGTCCAGCCAGACTGGGACTGTGGGTTCCGTCAGTTTGAGGTCGACCATGGTAGCTCCAAAAAATTCGTATTATTCAAAATTGAGGGATATTGAATTCCACGGCAACGCTGAGGATGTCGGACAGAGATGAGGGCGGCGGACAACCAGGTATGCGAGGGTTGGCCGCCGCGGCAGGTAAACAGCCACGGACTGGTCGCCGTGCGCTTCGTTGGAAGCGTTCCCACTCACAGTGGATAACACCAACCAAACGGGCACGGGGGCCCCTCCTCTGGGGCTTTCGATACGGGGGCGGGGGAGCCGTTGGCCTAGGAAAACAGACGGAGACAGGCGGAGGACGTGTGGATGGGCACCTGGGCGGGTGCCCCAACGGGGAGAAAAAAAAAAAAAGATTGGGCCAATCCCATCACATGATAATCATGTCTGCGGTGTTTTATTTTGATTCTGATTAGACGAAACCCTATGAACGGTCTCTCCTGTCGCCCTCACTGGTGCCAACGCCCTACAGACACCCGGAGTGCCGAGATCTTGGGGCGGTGGACCCCACGGGCGATTACCTCAGAGAAACACTGCGAGACGAAGCTTCAAGCGGAGGTGCGCGGCTGTTGATAATGAGGCGGTGTCCTCCGAGCACTCGACATGCGCCCGTTTCGGAAGGTCCAGCAGACCCAGCACCACCACCGAAAACACTTTCCGTGTTTGCCGGGTCTCGCAGCAGGTCATCTGCTGCTGAGTCATCGAACTCTGATATCTTCAACGTCATTTTTTCCTCTGAAGCCAGGTTAGGTCCATGTTGCCTCTAAGCAACAGGCCTGAGGCAGTGATGAAGGCATGCGATATGGATGTCGTCCAGGCGGCGTTGAGAGGCCAAGACGAGGCAATGCAGAGGGTGTGACTATGACGATGATACTGCCGGTCGCCTTGCAAGTGTAGACACCACTTGCCTGAAGTTGCGGTTTTACTCACTGTGCTTCCTTAGCTGTTCAGGACTTTTCCGCCGCCTTTCGCTGCTCCATAACCCTCAACACATCTGCTGCGTTGTTACCGTCGCCTTTTCTCTTCTTGGGACCTCTCTTTCTCTTCGTCTTGCCACCATGACCACCCTCTTCGTCATCGTCGTTGCCCCATTGAGACAACTTAATTGGTTGGTCGTCAAAGTCGGCCTCATCCTCAAATCTGCTGGTGCCGAAGCCCATGTCCAGATCTTCGGCATCGCGATCGACCGACTCCAGCATCTTCCTGCGACGTGCCGCGCGGGCCTTGGCCTCTTCGTCATCTTCATCCTCATCATTATCCTCTTCCTTGTTTGCTGCTCTAAGTTGTGCGGCCCTCTTGAACGCTGCCATGATTGCGGGGTCTTCCATAGAGGGTGCCTTGATGGATTGTGATGAAATAAGCTCCGTCTTGGAGTCCTTGAAGTAATTGCGCGGGGCGGCTGGCCTGGGAGGCGGTGCCATTGATGTCGAGTCGGATTTGGATTCTGCCTTGGCGTCCTCCTTCGCCTCCTTGTCTTTTACCTCGCCTTCGTCGTCCTCATCTGAGTCGCTGTCCATGCCAGCAAGTGGATCGTAATCATCTCCTGCGTCGGCGAAAATGTCATCGTTATCATCTTCTTCGGCTTCCTGCTGCTGCTGCTTTTTGTAGAATTCAGGAACTTCCATGCCAAGCGGCTTCGCGTCCTTATCTGGAATGAACTCCTTCCTCTGCTCTTCTTCGACTCCTGGTTGCACTTTCCGGACCTTTCTCTTCTCGTGACCGTCTTCATCGACGATGATTAGGACCTCACGGCCCTTGCTGTCTCGCTCAATGCGAGTCCCGGGTTTTTGCTTCGCTCCAATCTTCCTGAATTTGTCGCCCAAATTGTCTTGCGCTGCCTTTGCAGCCGCTCTTGCAGCCTTCATCTCTGCCAAAATCTGGTCGCGTGTTCTCTTTTTTCCAGGCGCAAGCGCGATAGACGCCATCTGGCCTTTCTTCTTGACGGTCTCCTTCTCGATAGCTTGCACTTCTGACTCCTCCAATTCGTCGAATGCCTCGTCGATGTCCTCTTCGGGGGGTGCCTCCTCCTTCTCTTCTTTGTCCTTTTCGTCATTCCAAACGTCTTCACCCCTTCGTATCCTCGCCAGGAGCTTGAAGTCCAACCCCTTTACCAGATGCGTGCTGGAGATGTCGCCTCCCGCAATCTCGTTGCGGAGCTTCTCAAACGTCTCCTTGTCAATCTCCTCGTTCTTGAGTGACTCCTCCAACGCCTTGATCCTTTTCGCGCGGTCATCTTCCTCTTCATCGTACCGCTCTTTCGATCGGTCCACGTAGCCTTCGGCGAGTCGGGATCCTTTGGGCGCTGACGATCGGAACTTCTTTTGGGGCTGAGCTGCTTGATTTCTAGCGGCAAGTTGTCGCGCAAACTCGTTTCTAGGGTTCATGCCACCAACAGATCGGCTGAAACACGCGAGTTAGTCAGATACTTGAAGTGATGCGTGTCAAGGAAGCTTACGGCGTCATTGGGATGCTTGATCGTTGTCGCGATCCCAGAGCACCAGCGCCAGATGGCGTGGCGCTACTTGGCGTGGCTCCATTACTTGGTGATGATGACTTGGTTGAGTTCGCGCCTAGCAGCTTCCGAAACTGCTCGTTGTTCATGATCGCGGTTCCTCGATGGTTGTTGGGTCCGGCAGATTGTCGCAAACATGCAAAACAGTGAGCTCTTGTAAGTCGAAGTGCTTAACGCCGAAAAAACCTACCAGTACTTTGGAAGGGAACGGATTAGTCATCTTGACAGACAGATGAGTCCGTGCACTAAGGCACCTTACGCGTGGAGGCGGCCCCACTCCACTTTACGCGGTCATCCGCGTCGCAGGCATCCAGGCCGTCGGTGCTCCGTGAAGAGCATCTCATCGCCAACTCACTTATGCGCCCTGGCCTCGTTCGCCGTTGACCCCGCGGGCGCTATCCTCACCCTTTGATTAAGATGTTCGATATCATGCGATCGATAATTTGGACAGGATTTCGTGTGAGGGATTCATCGCAACGCTAGCATCTGGGTCATCGGCCGTGCTCCCAGACATCCGTCATCTATACGAAAGCACCGTGACCACCAAACAAGATGGGGAGCCGTCTGGAGAAAAATTCCTCTCAAGTGAGGAAAAGAATCGAAAGTCATGAGTTTACCGACGAAGGAGGCGAGGAGTATGAGCCAAGCGCCTTTGGCGGCTTTGGCGACTACTTCAGAAGAAAGAAGATCAAGCTACAGAATCTGGATGCGGATATGAGAGCCTCTTCAAGCGACAAACCTCAAATTTTCAAGGGCGTCGTTGCGCATGTTACGGGCTATACGCAGCCTCCTCTTCACGTGTAAGTCCCACTGATGAGACGCGACTGCCCGCAGCTGACCGAGGTTTTGTAGCCTTCACCGTGAGCTTGTTCAGCATGGCGCGGGCTTCCTGCAGTACTTGGACGCGAAGACCATGGCCACTCACATCATCGCATCCTCTGTGCCGCCCAAGAAGTCTGTGGACTACAGCAGATACCGACTGGTGAAGCCCGCCTGGGTCACTGATTCGATTCAAGCCGGACGACTTCTGCCATGGTCCGATTACCGAGTGGACAACGACGGTCCTCGTCAGAAAGTTCTGAAGTTTGATGAATCCAACAAGCTCAGTCAGGCAACACCTCAGTCCAGGAAAGGGTACAGGGAGCAGACGGACAACAGCTTCTACACAAGTCAATTCAAAGCATCTGCTGCCAGTCCTGTCACTCCCTCACTAAGTCGATTTGTTGAGCGCGCCGAATCGCCGCTTGCCCGCAAGCATGCTCGCAGTTCTGACAGCCCGGGAACCATTCCTTTCCCCTCTGCTCAGAAGGTTAAGCTGAAGGAAGAAGTGGAAGAGTTTGATGACATGGAAATTGACGAGTTGATGGTCGATATTCTTCCTGAGGGCCCAGCACCCAAGTCCGAGCTGTCAAAGCCCGAAAAGCACAATACGAAGCAGCCGCAGGTCGCGAAGGAACAGAAACTTAGCGAGCAGCTCAAGGCTGTGGCGGAACCCAAAATCGAGCAGCCCAGCCCCGAAGCCCCCAAGATCGACTACGGTAGAGACACGGTCACACCTGCGTTGATCGAGGAGGAGATGAAACGCAATTCCAAAATGCCGGAGAACATGACCTCCGAAGAACACAATGCCTGGCTTCTCTCAGACCCAAAAATGTGGAAGTCTTCAACGGCGAACCCGGACTTTTTGAAGCAGTTCTACTCCGAGAGTCGGCTCCATCATCTTTCGACCTGGAAAGCCGAATTGAAATCAAAGATGCAGAAGCTTGCAAAGGAAAAGGGCACCTCAACCATCAAGAGGAAGGCCGGATCTCGACGGTACATCATGCACGTCGACTTTGACAGTTTCTTCTGCGCCGTTTCCTTGAAACGCAACCCGGAATACGTCGACAAGCCGACTGTGGTCGCTCACAGCAGTGGATCTGCCTCAGAAATTGCAAGTTGCAACTATGTGGCGCGCAAATTCGGCGTGAAGAACGGGATGTGGATGAAGCGAGCTCTGGATTTGTGCCCAGATATCAAGGTTCTGCCATATGATTTCCCTGCCTACGAAGAGGCCAGCCGTCACTTCTACGAAGCGATCCTCGACATTGGCGGAGTCGTTCAGAGCGTCAGTATTGATGAAGCACTCGTTGATATCACGTCCATCGTCCTCTCCAGCGTCGGTTCAGAAGGTGCCGGTGTGGATGAGGGTAGTATCTGGAGGGAGCAAGACAAGGCGGAGCAAATTGCTCTCGACCTGCGCAACAAGATCAAAGCATCTACTGGATGTGCTGTCTCGGTCGGCATAGGAGGAAATATCCTACAAGCAAAGGTCGCCCTGCGCCGAGCAAAACCCGCTGGGCAATTCCTGATGAAGCCTGAGGAAATGCTTGAGATTATCGGAGAGATCGAAGCGAAGGATCTGCCCGGTGTTGCGTACAGTCTTAGCGGCAAGCTCGAGGAGATCGGAGTCAAGTACGTCAAAGATATCCGAAACGTGTCAAAGGAGCGTCTGTCTTCCTCCTTGGGACCCAAGACCGGCGAAAGGCTGTGGGAGTATGCCCGTGGCATCGATCGAGCTGAAGTCGGAGAGCATCCTCCCAGAAAATCCGTGTCAGCGGAGGTCAACTGGGGCATCCGCTTCATCAATCAGCAGGAAGCTGAAGAATTCGTCTTGAATCTTTGCAAGGAGCTTGAGCGTCGTCTGCTCAACGAGCAGGTCAAGGGGAAGCAGTTCACTATGAAGATCATGCGCCGGGCCCAAGATGCCCCCCTGGACCCAGCAAAGCATCTAGGACACGGCAAGTGTGACAGCTTCAGCAAGAGTGTGATGTTTGGTGTCGCCACCCATAATGCGGATACCATTGCGAAAGAAGCTGTTTCGGTCCTCCGATCTTACAGGTTCAGTCCTGGAGACCTTCGAGGTCTTGGTGTACAGTTGACGAAACTCGAACCTATCAAGACTGGTCCAGCCGGCCCTGAAAGCAGCCAACGCAGACTTGCATTTCCAACTTTCAATAGCGCCAACTCGTCTAAAAAGGGTGCTGCTGATCCCATCGAAGACTCAAAGAGCCCTTCGAAGCCTAAGACGACCCAGGCGCGTGGGAGTGTTGCAAAAGATCCTATTGCAGACGATCCTTTGACACCAAGGAAACCCAAAGTGCACCCAGCACTGGCACTGGCGCGAGCTGGTGAGAGGGATGAGAAAGCAAACACACCACTGAACATCATGGGTACGCAGTTCATCCTGCCATCACAAGTCGACCCCGCCGTGCTGGCTGAGCTACCCAGCGACATCCGATCCAAGCTGCAGAGGGGCCAGAAGCCACCGCCTGCAGCTAGACCAGCATCGCCGAAAGCCAAGTCAAGGAGTCAGAGCCCTGCGGTACCAAACGATATCCCATCTCAGGTTGACCCAGAGGTCTTCAATGCCCTGCCGGAGGATATGAAGGCAGAGGTCCTGGCACAGTACGGACGGAAGAGTGCGCAAACCCGGTTACCACAATCACCCCGAAAAGACAGGATAATTCAGCCAAAGAAAGCAATCACGCCAACAAAGAGAGGGAGGAACTTGTTCAATAATGCAAGGGAAAGACAGCAGGATGCAGCAGCAAACCGTCTGCAAACAAGTTTCCTGCCGAACAAAGGGGCTGTCCCCGCTGCGCAGAACGATGAGCCAGAGGAACTTGATGCGGAGTTTCTGGCCGAGTTGCCGGAGGACGTCCGCCGGGAAGTCATCGAAGACCACCGGAGAAAACGCCTCGCTCAGAAATCCGGTCTCAACTTCAATGCGCCCCGGAAGCATCTCCCAGCCGAGGCCAGCGACTTTCTACCCGGCGGACAGACCAAGCTTCAGTTCCCAGCACCGCCGCCAAAGGTCAATTTCATGGGATCTGCGGTGAAGTCGGTGCAGGAGATCAAGGACATGATCGAGGCCTGGCACGACGGGACCCGGGCGGAGGGCCCCCACCAGGAGGATGTCGTCATGTTTGAGAAGTATCTGGCCAAGGTCGTAACGGAGGAGCGCGACATGCACAAGGCATCGAAACTGGTCCAGTGGCTCGAGTGGTTGGTGCAGGAGGACGGCAGCGAAGGGCGAGGAAAGCGGGCTTGGAGGAGGACGGTCTCGGATATCAAGGCGGCGGTCCAGAAGGCCGTAGAGCGTAGGGGCTTGGGGCCCCTCAAGCTATGAAGTTGTATGATTCACGATTGATGCCAGGATACCATTGGGTGGCGTTTGGGAGGCACGACCTTTAAAGATACTATCGTTCAAATGTGATCGTTGTTCTATTCACGGCTGCTTGAGAAAGATCAAAGATCATTGCCGTCCAAACTTAGGGGTATCTCCTAAGAAGCCTTTCCAAAAATCAGACGCGCTTAGCAAAAAAATCAGTCAAACTCTTAAAAAGACATGACCGCCAGTGTACCAGCAAGCACCAAACCCCAGGCCGTCGCCGCAACCCGAGCGCTGCCGCTCTGCATCATGTAGACACTCAACTTCAACGCGCCTCCACAAGCGACGTCTCGGTTTCCGTCGCAAGGGGTATTACACGCCGTGTCATCGAGCTTCGTCGCCAGACTGGAGAGCCTCTGGGAGCACCAGCACTCGCTGCGACAAACTCACGTCAGCAATGTGCACGAAAGGTTCGAGATGATTCCTTTTAGGGAATCGAATGTCGCAGTCTCACCGAGAATACTCAACACCCGCGTACTTGTACTGGGTATCGGTTCCGCTGTTGCAGAAGCTGAGACATGTCGGTACCGTCATGTTGCCGTCGACGGGGTATGTCTTGCTCGCGCCATCGGCGAGGGCGCGCACCTTGGCCGTGTCCGCGAGGTCGACGGTCTCGTTGAAGCAGCCCTGGTACTTGTACTTGTCGGAGTCCTGGTAGATTGAGAGGGACTGCGCGGATGCCAGCGGGGAGAGGAGGGCGAGGAGGATGAAGGAGGCGATGAGCTGGATAAGCATGCTGCGAGCCATCTTGAGTTCGATCGCAAGTCTGTCGACGAAAAACACGAGTTGTGAGGCAATGGTTGGTGAGAAGGCCGGCGTTCAAGACTCGGGATCGCAATTGGAAGTGTCGCCCAATCGTGAAGATGAAGATCGCGAGATTGGGTACCGAAGCTTCGCTGGCGTAATCGGGGGTCGCAACGTTGCTGACGGCGGATGATTCAAGGGATCAGGCTGGAATCTCACGGCAAGCAAGGCGCGTTCTCATAACGGGAGCATATCGGTGGCAGAAGTCGGGCTGCTTCAGGAGAAGAGAGGGAGGGAACAAGCTGAGGCTGGACGGGAGAAGGTGAGAAGAAGCTGAGGTCGCAGCTCGCTCGCTCAGCTACCTTAGCAAAGCCGCCGGCCGGCCCATTGGAGTAATAATAATTTTTCTTTGCGTCGGACGCAGCGGCCGGCCAGCAAAGCAGAGACGCCAAAAGGAGATTATGCACCCGACCACTGCGCCGCGATGGCGCGCCTGAGGTGGTTTAGCCATGCGCACCAGGCCCTTCGGGCGTCTTGATAAACGAGAGGAACGGGCCTAGCGGGATGCAAGCCTGTGAGCCCGCTGTAGGCCTGCCGCTGGCGTCTCAGGGACTGGGCCTGTTGGAGCCCGTCGAGACCCCACCACAGCTGAGATGTGGCGGCGGTCTAGGCCCGAACGGGACGGGGAAGGAGGGAACTCGCCGGGCGGTCTGTGCGCCCCGGCAGTGTTCCTGGGGGGCCTTTAGGTTCTGCTGGGAACATCGCCGCGAGGTGCAAACCTTGATTGGAACAACCACCCATCCTTGGCTGCGACAACACGTTTCTTTTCACCACGCCGACGCGATCTGCGTGTTGTACAATAACGTTCCACGGAACCGGTGACTCGACCCTGCGTTTGCGATATGATGACTTGTATTTGTCTATCATTGTTTCCTCGGTCTGTGGCTGCAGCAGCAGGCAAGCCAGCCAGCAGCCACGACGCCGGATTCTCGGTTCCATTGCAAATTTCTCCGAACGATCTTCGTTGGTTCATCAAGAGACATTCAGACTTCAACTTAGCAAGTCTACGACATGCTTGTTGGTATTTTCGTTCTGTCCGGTTCGCAGACTGACTTCTGTCTGGAAACGTAACCATGACGGCTACTTGCGAGCATCGTGACCTCTTCAGCGACATCGCTTGGCCAATCTCCCTTTTGCCATACACTCCATACCATTTCCAGAGATTCCAAAGATGCTGTTTTCCCTTTTCCAAGTGGAAACTTATGGTATTGTTGATGCCCAGTTAACATTGATCATGGCCGCAACGTAGCCGGGTGTCATGCCTCCGGGCTTCGTTCTTCTATGCCTTTTCCTTTTTCTTTTTCTTCTCTTTTCATTTGTCGTCTCGTTCATTCCTTTGATTTCATAACTCGTTACTTCACAGGTATTAGCTGCGGTGCTTCTCACAGTTGATAGAGCTACGAGACAACTTACCAGCATGCTTAGCTCCAATCCGCCGTAGATCCTTGCTTTCAGGGACACCTCAACATCAAGATTCAACCCCAGATGTACCGCAAAGCTTCGACTCTCTCGAGCTGTTGGAGCCCTGGGTTCTTCTGGCTTGGGACTACTTTGCCTCATCGGCGGCCGTTTTCGTTGCCTTCGCTTCCCTCGGTTGACACCCTGTTTGGGCTCCCTGAAAGGAACATCTTTATCGGAGTCGCTTTCTGAGCTTGATGGATCTGTCGGTTCGTCTGGTATATGTACGCTCGGGGACGGGGACATCTCATAGTCCATACTGAGATCGATGCCGGAATCTCGATTACGATCATAGTTCTTCGAAACGGGTTCCACTACAGGCTCATGGATGTCGATCTCTTCTGCTTCTTCTTCCTCCTTCATATGGATAAACGACGTTTGTTCCAGTGGTAATGAGTCGTCGAAGGGCATGGGGCACCAGATGAAATGTTCTGGGTCGGCGAATCTCTCGACGGAACTGTACAGCTCTTTTGGGAGCCATACGATACTATCTCTCGACGTCATCTTCGTTGCTTGTAGCGAGTGTATGTTGAGCGAGTGTGAGGGGATAAAATATGGTAAAAAAGATGATCAAGAAAGCGAGAGATGATGGAACATGGCAGTGGTCTTCTTCCCAAACACGGGGTGGAGAGCCTTTCCATCATAAAGGAGAGCCCAAGGGGCTCGAGGAGGCCACACTCATTTTATCAGCATCTGACGACCATCGACAAAATCTTGGCACACAAGCAGGATTGAGGCTCACCTCCCAGAACGCTCAATGAAATCATGTATGGGGTCGGGTTGCACTGGTTGGCTCCGCGGCTCCGTGCTGTGAGCAGGACTTGGCCAGGCCCTGGCCGAGATCTGCAGGCCGATCGCTGTGGGGCCCAACGGGCGAGAACCCGGATTTGGATCCTCCCCTCCTGGAGTTGCAACCTGCACGCCACCGACGACATTCCACCACGTTTTGCCCTGGGCTGTTTTGTGGTCCGTCGTGATTGGATTTGGGAGAGATGATTGAACATCATCGGTTTGTTTCCATTTTTAGGACTTTTCAGGGTCCTTTAGCTCAGTCCACTTGGGAGGTGTTAGTGCGCCATCGCCCTGGATTTTGAGAAGTATGCCCCTGAGATGAAGAGCTAGCATGCAGGCTATGAGAATCGCTTTCGATTTATTCAGACTTCACGAATTCAAGCCTTCCAAAACCATTTGATTCACTTTGAATCTTTCCATGTGGTTACAAGCTATTGACGGGTGGGAAGTCGGCACAAATGATCTTCCAAGTGCAGCCTGGCCGGAGCAGCTCTTAAGAGATAGTACGGGTAAAAGTGGCCATTGGTTATGAAAAGTGACAGAAACAATATTCTCAGCACCATTGCCTATTCACGATCAAATCGAAAATACAGCGCCAATCCCAAGAATGGGAACAGATTTGACAACGACAACACGAGAATCGTGCGCTGGAGACGATGAAATCTCGTCCTTAATCCACGCGCGTCTTCTCCGGGCCATGGGCCAGTTCCGGTCCCCCTTCCGAGTCAACAAACCGAACCCGAAGGCTTCTGGCGCGATCCGTAATATTTGCACCATCACCGGCTTCCCTCAATAGCGATCTCGAGTCCATGTCAAGGCCATGCGCCAAGGTCGCCAGTGAGCTTCCCCGCCATGCTGGCAACCCAAGATCCCGAGTCTCCCAGATTGATAAGACACAGAAGACGCAACCTCCTAAAAGTACGCCAATGGGCAGAATCAAAAACTCCCAGTTGACTCGGATTCGAACTACCCACTCCGTGCTTTCACCTATGAACGGTTCGGTTTGTAGTGACCGGTTGCGTATCCATTTGGTGAGGCTTGCAGCCACGTTATCGAATGTTCTCGTGAGATTTGGTGACGTGCCAAGGGCGTTGATCACCGGTGGCTGAGTTACGTCGGAATAAGGGATGGGGTATATCAGTTGTTTAGTTGCCAGGTTCCTGCGTCGTGAAAACTCATCCCGAAACCAACGCAGCAACGTATAAGTGGTTTCGCGGGTGATGTTGAATCGCAAGTCACCCTTCTGATTGACTCCAGTCGCAGCAAGGTATTCTTCGCCTGAAATCAGAAGTTGTAAATCCGTATCCCATAACATCGGAGTTGCAGCCGGGATCTCTTCGCTGGAAATCAGACCTCGCCATTTCCTATCCCATCCGGATGCCATCAAGTCCTCGTCTTCGACATACAAGGAATGATTCAAGACGTGGTTTAAGACTCTGCTTCGCGTAAGGTCCGCACCGATGTTATAGGAATCTAAATTCCTGTTTGAGTAGGAACCCAGAACCGCCTCTTTGAGCACAGTTTGCTCAACGACTGACCGGTATATATTAGTGCAGAAGTATAGGGCGCACTCCTTTGCTGTGACAGCAGTGCTCTCCCATCTTTGGCTGTTGTTGAGGTACGATGGACTTACTTTTAACATGGAGAAAGATATAATGAGAGTTTTTAGATGATGAAATGAGACGGTTTTTCCCGGATTACAGGTTGATTGTGTTGCCAATTCCGCCCTGCGTGTTTCACCATAAGGCAGCCATTCAGATATCAAGCCGTTAGGTTTAGTCATTTCCAGATTCTGACTTTTTATCTCGTATCCAGTGTAGCTGGCTAGACCACTGCTGCGGCCCGAGAAGCCATAGCTTGTCGAGAAGATCGTGTCATTGTCGAGTGGCGCATTACCGCTGAACCTCGTTATATGACTCGAAACGTCGTCACAGCCCCTGCAAACAGCCAAAGATGCATAGACTGGCCATGTGCAATTTACTGTGGAGCATGTGAATGCTGGCTTGTGGTTGTCTGTAGTGCTCAGATTGGAGAAGCCTTCACATATGGCTGAAAGGGCGTCGAAATCGTAGTTCGGGCGGACAGAGTCGAATTCAATGGCCCCCATAGTCGACCCCTCATCGCTGAGAATTCCTCTGAAATTGGTTTTAATCCAAGATCCAGATCTCAAGTTTTGTGTTCTTCCGATACCAGTGGTGTTCGCAGTCCCGACAAGCACGAGTTCTTCGCCTGAAAAGGTAACGACCGCTTGCAAGAATGGCTCAAACACGACAAGAAAAACTGCGGATAAAGCTCCCAGAGCTGTCCAGTGTCTTTACACGTTTGTGAGTATGAAAATCTGGGTATATGGTAGCACGAAAAGACGTACCTGACTTTTGTCCACCAAAGTAGGCGAAGACTGCCCCAAGGACCGCGACTTGCTTCCTCAAAGCGATCAAATATCATGACGTTATCGCTCCTCTTTCTGTACCAATTCCATTTTCCCTGGCTTACGCAAGCACTGATGGCGAAAGCCAGTGCTGCTCGTGACGTAGAACCAAGGACAGAGATGATGACGTTAAAGGACACTGGCAGCGTCCAGGAAGACAGGGGCTCATTCTCATACACCGGTAGTAGAATGAGAATTACTACCATGGAAGAGATGCTGAGAATAATTGCTGAAGCCTCAATGGTCCAATGGTACTCCCCGAGAGAAAATGATGTCGTACTGCTGGTTCTGCTTCTCGCATCGAAACCTTCGACCTCGGACCGCCTGCTTGGCTGGACTGGGCTGATGTTGGCCGTGAGACTCTGCCATTGGCTCATTTCCACGTCTGTATCCAGCTCTTCTGGAACATTGCAGGTGCTTTCGTTGACGTATGGTGGCGATGAGGAGGGCGACAGCGGCTCGGATGAGGCTTCATGGCCATTCCATGTCGGAGACGCCATTGATTTGCATGTAGATGCTTATCTTGGGATTGGAGAGGTTTTCCAAGACGTTGACTAAGAGTTCCGTAGAAAGTTTGATAAGTAATAAGAACAGAGAAACATGGAATTTACGCAGGCGCTAGAGCAAATGGAGGTGATGTATGCGATTATTTCGGCTGTCCAACGAGATGCAGCCACCACATACACGCAAGTAAAAAAAAGGCGCATGCATATTTCAAGTAGTTTGAATCACTAATCATTGGGCTTTGTTACAGTAACACCTGTGAGATTATACCATGATCTATAACTCGCTGGATTTACGTGAGGCTCGGTCAGTGCTACGATGACGGCAGTATACGAGATGCATGGGCATTGAGTGCAACTACGTATTTTCAGCTCGATCTGCTGAAGATCTGGAGAGTCGCTTGGGAACAGAATCACTAATCTGTCTCTTTCTCACATCTGATTCCAATCGTTTCATTTTCCAGGGTCTGGCATCTTTAACCCCAAGGGCAAGTTATAATCATTTGAACACTAATCTCACAAAGCTAAAAGTATTGCTGTATACTATCATTGTTAATTCAAGACCCCCTATTCATTTCAGTCTATTATAGAGATATGCTTAGACGCGTGGCTCAAAATCTCTTATCGATTTAGATGTTATTGAAAAGAGAATTACCACCCCTACACATTGGATCGCCAGTGCCCCAAAGCCACCATTTTGTCACGGGAGGCATACGGCCGCTCAAATCTCGGCTCAAACGCATCTTTCTCTATACCGACGCCTCTTTGAAGCCCGTAACCCGTGAAATCTCTTGGAAAGGGGTTCTCGCCGTTGCCATAGATAAAATCCTGTACCTCGTTGTCAAGCCACACTTTTCGTGCCGCAACTTGGGCATCCGAGTTGACTCGGACGGAGACACGCGGTCGAACAGATCTCCCACGCCAGTCAAGCTCGTCTCGGATACCCTCAAGCAGACCCCTAAAGCTTCCGGAATTACTCATAAACCAGAGGGAACTCAGCTCGACAGATTGAAGTGTTTCCGGAAGCGCCCCCAGTAAATCGAGGAGATCCTGTTGTTTGACGAGGAAGGCTAATAGTCCAAAGTGCGTCAATTGCGTCCACGACTCCACCGGGAAGACGGAGCGCAGCGGAACGCAAAGATCCGGGCGACCTGCGTTGCCCCAATCTTCTTGGAAATCGTAATTTCGGTCTTGATCCAACTTCAATGTGACCTTTTGAAGATTCGCAGACAACAGCTTCCGGAGACGACCGTTGCGGAAGGCACGATAGCTTTGCAATTCCTGGCCGCCGGTCATTAGATGCAATGTGAGCGCGGAGAACCCCGGCCTGTGGACCAACGCGAGGAGATCGTCGTACTCTTTGCACGTTTCGTCTCTCGAGAAGATGTCAGCTGTCAGGCCTGACCCAATCTGGTTGCCCTCGATGACGAGTTCTGGGGCATTAGCGCGCGTCTGTTGCGCCAGGAGTGCAGTCACGAGGCGGAAGCCACGCCACCTGTTCTTGACCTCCTCGCAGTCCCAGTTCTCGGCGCCCATCGTCCAAGGATCGGGCGATGCGGGCCAGCCGCGGGGGATCGGGTAGTTGAAGCCGTATGGAAATTCCCGAATCATAGGTGTCGGGTATAGAGGCGTGAAGAGGACTCCATGCGCGAGGGGGCTTAAGGTGATCTTTTTTAGGTTGGGAAACATATTGCCGTCTAGTGCCCATCGTAAAGCGGCGATATCGGCTCCTGAAGCTAGGACATCCCTCTGCTGCTGGAGGAGCCCTTGATAGTAGGCGTATGCGACATCCACGGGGAGCGGCGCGTGAACCTGCTTCGCGGTTTCGATGTGTTGCGGCAGGGTTTCAACATCGGCGTGGCCTAGTGTCTGTAGATCCTCGATATTCTTTTCGCACGCTCGCACGTAAAACCACGGCACGCCTTCTACATAGTTGTCCGCTTCTTCGTCATAAAACTCCTCGCCGTCGAGACGAATGTCTTCGAATCTATCTTGGTAATCCTCCGCCTCGAGCAAGCGAGCATCGTCCCATACAATCTCACGAACGGCATGGCGGAACGTTTCGTGTTCTGCGACCGCTCGGAAAACTTCAATGTTGCGAGGATTGGCCGAGATGAAGACTCGCTCGAAACGGAAGTATGGACGCACAATCTCGGAGAACTTGACGCAAGCTAGACGTAGGCTTTTGAGATCGCGATTGGAGAGGTGTGAGAAGATTTCATCAGCTAGCTCGGTAGGTAGCTGGGCTATGGACTCAACGACAGATGGAGATCCCGTAAATGAGTCCGGTAGGGTTGGCGGTCCTGGTAGTGGTAAAGAGGCGGCTTTCGCGGAGAAAAGGTTGCGATTTCCACAAACTCTGGGCATCTTGTCGGTATTGCAGACAGAATGGGATGTGTTTGAGAAGTGGAAAATGGAAAGGCGCTACTTGGACCGTCGGTTAAGTACTGTTGGAATGCCAAATGGAAGAAGGTGCGTGTGGACCAACAAGCTTGCAGGGAAGCTCCAGGCAGCAGCTACCCATGCGATTTCCGTATGGAGTGTCGCAATGCTCGTGATATGGATGATGAATAAAAGTCTTTCGATTGAAGTGCAGTCAAGACTGGATGCAGTATTAGTCTACCGTTGTCATCCCGCCTGTCGCTTACCAGTCGCTTGAGTCAACAATTTTGGCGAAGAAATTACCCAGCGTACGAGTCTCGAGAAGGTAATTTGACTGTGTAGTAGCTTCCAAGGCCCAAGACGATGATGAAAATGCTTTCATCGTAAAGGTGAGCAGGAGTCACCTGAAGAGTGAGTCGGCCCAGAAGATATTTAAGGAGGTCTGCGTCAGGACTGAGCAACAGCGCCCGGAATAAGTGGCCGTGAATCTGCCCAGTATGGTAGAACTAGTATGCCAGCTGAACACAGAGATTACGTTTATCCGGCGCTGGAGTCCATGGGTTCGAGCCACTTTTTGAACTTTTTCCCCCTTTGGATGCTCCTTCAGTAGCTGATCAATGGAAATTGTCCTATCAATACCTCCCGGGAAGCGCTGTGAAATACCCACGACGGGGACAATTAGAGTTACACCACCTATCCGAGTATAACACTCACTCATTTTTATATCCCACTGAATCCTTCATGTGTTCCGCCTCATTCGATCCCACTCGCAGCCTGCTGCTCTCCTACGAGCACGGTGCTTTCCTCTGGCCTGTCCTGCTGGTCCTTTTCCTCGTAGTACTTCTCAACATCCTTCACAACCTGCCTTCCGGCAAAGTTCTTCATCAGCTTCTGCCCGTCACACCGCATGTGGTGCTGGTACCAGTGGGGCATTCCCCTGAATGATCCCAGCAGAGACCCAACGGCGGGCAGGATGACTTGTCCGCTGGTACCCTCGAGAACCTTCTTGACGATTGCTTCTGCCACGGTCTCGGGCTCCAGGGCGGGTATCAAGAACTGCAGACCCTGCTCGTAGCCGGTGAAAAGCGGCGTCTTGGTGTATCCCTGATTGATCAGGACCGTCCGCACACGGGGGGCGTTATACTTGGTCACGAGCTCGGCAGAGAGACCTTCGTGGAAGGCCATGGCGGCGGCCTTCGAGGCGCCGTAGTCGACCATATTGGGGACTGTCAACCACGCGGCGTAGGATGCGATGGTGACGACCATGCCGTGGTTGGTGGCGATCATGTTCGGGAGGAATTCCTTGACGGTCCAGAAGTGGGCAAAGGTGTTCACGTCGAAGGTGAACTTGACATCGCGCTCGGTGGAGTTGAGGATCGTCTTGCCGCGGGCGACGCCGGCGTTGTTGATGAGGACCGTCGGGTGGCCGATGCGAGCGCGGATCTCCCGCGCCACGGCGGCGAGCTTTTCGGTGGAAGTGATGTCGCAGTTGAAGTAGTGGACGTTGGAGGCTGTTGATTGTGTTAGTAAATGACTTGAAGTGAGAGGTCAGGAAGCCCTGGGGCAATAGGGGGGAACGCTTTACCCGCAGTGTAGGTCAACTCCTGGATGTCTAGTACCACGACGGTGGTGCCACGCTCAGCGAACAGTTGAACTACTTGACCTCCGATACCACCAGCGCCACCGGTCACGAGGACGATCTCTTTGGACCAGTTGTACCGGTCAGAGACCCAGTTGTTCAGCGAGCGCGACGAGAGCCACTGATCGGCCATTCGCAGCACCGAAAGCCATGCCAACTTCTTGAGGCCCGAGAACGCTGTCGGGTGTAGAATGGAAAGGTCGCCGCCTTTCTTGGTGTAGCGGGCGAGCAGGAGCAGCGGTAGCACGAGGGCTGGGTTGAGGGCAGTGCGTCCGATGAGGCGGAAGATGGGATCGGCGACGAGGCCCTCGCGAGGGAGGAAGCCCTGGTGCATCGGCATTCTGAGGTTCGACGCGGTTGTTACGCGTGGGCCGTTCCACGAGAGGAGGTTGGCGGTGATGTATTGGGCCAGGTGAGTTTGTGGAACCAGAGGCTCTTATACCTAGGAGGGCAGGACCGAAAGCGAGGTGTGGTTGATGGCAACCAGCACGATTGGAATCAGAAAATCAGATGGCAGCTCAGGGTCGGAGCGAAGCCTGGCTGTGGGTTACAGAACAACCGTAAATCGACCCAACTTCTGGGCGCGGGCTCAACCTTTTCCAAAAAGCTTCTGCGGGTGCTCTCACAACGTCATCAACACTATCGAGGGTGAGATGCGAAGGTGGGAAAAAAAAGAAAGCAGGCAATGTCTAACATCACACCACCGCGTTTCCGGCAAGCGACCCCCATACTTAAAGGAGTTTCAACGGCTGGGGGGAAAGAGGGCGTCCGGGAAATAGACGAGCAAGGGTCGTTGGAGCTCCAAGCTCCTCGATGCTGAGTGCCTTCATAGTGTAGGTGTTGCCGTTGCTTGGCGAGAACAGCTGCCGCCATCCATGTGCTGTTTCTGACCGTTTCCCAGTCTATTGCAGCTTGAGCAGCGGTAGCGGCAGGTAATGCGCAGCCGAGGTTTGGTGCAGCCGAACGAAAGTGCGGGGAATCTGGGGGAGGCACCGTTGCAGTAGACGGGACCAGGGCCTAGGACTGCTGATTCGGATGCGAAGTCCGCCTAGAGCGCGTTCTGATAGGGCGAGCCATTCACCGTTGTACGACGGGAGAGCTAGAAGGTCGGTGGGGATGGTTTTGCACTTTGCGCATGTGAGGCGGTTATCGGGCGATGGGCGTTGCCATTTCTGGAGAGCAGTTCGTCGGCGAATGAGTGGAAGGGGGGCCACCGGATGGCATGGACGTCGCGGATGGCCACCGACCCGGGGGCTCTGAGAGGAGGAGTGGGGCCCCGGAATGGGTTTCCAGCTGTGTGCGTAATAGACTGGCCGACCAGATCGCCTGAGAAACATTGAGTCTGAATGGATTCTTTCTTTTCTTGTAAAGAACCCCTGGCTGGATTCGCCAGAGTTTAAATTGTGGTTTTTCTAGAAGGGGAATATTGTTCGGCCGTTAAAGCGTGCACGACCTCACTACCAGGTCGCTGCTGGTGTCATCCGTCCCGCCAACGAATACGAGCGAGTCCCTCGGCTCGATTAAGCAGCCGTGTCCTATTATGTACAGCACATCGTCCCGGGTATCACGAAAATAAGATGATTACATCTGATCCGCCGTCTCACTTACAGCATCAGTGCGGCGCCGATGCTCAGCAGGCACAGCCAATGCGCCCCGTCTCTCCAGCTGAGCGTGCTACCGGCTCCGAGGCCGTCGCCGGGCGTCGCCTCCGGCTTGGTGTCGCCTAGCCCGTCGTCGTTGCCGTTGCCGGCCTTGACTTCAATCTGCGTCGAGTCTCCCGGCGCGAAGAGTACGCCGATGGCGTTTGCCGCTGTGGCGTTGAGTTCTTGGTCACTGAGCAGCGGGTTGTTTAGCGCATCGCAGGAAGGCCGCCCGTTCTTTTGTGAGATGCTGTTTGTGACGGAAATCGGCACGTCAAAGATTGTGTAGTGGTCTTCGCCGTTTAGGCGGTAGTTTTGGCGGATTGAAATCTGGAAAGCTTGTTAGCGTGAGGGGGATGCTTGATGGGCGGGTGGCGCACATTGTAAGCGCCACGGTCGCTGCCGGTCGAAGACGGCTGGCCATCGCCGACCAGACAGTCGGGCCAGATCCAGTTGACATGCTTGACCGTGCTGCCGGGCTCTTGGAACATGATGTCGCCCAAGCTAGCGTTGTTGGCTGATGCCGTGCCGTTGGTGATGGTAAAATTGCGGCCGGTCGTGTAGCTGGATAGGAACATTGTGACGTTGAAGATCTTGGTAGGGCTGTTCGAGGCATAAGGCGGCAATGGCATCTTGCCGTTCGTGGATACGTCCAGCGCAACATGGAGATTGTCTGCATCGGTCAACACCAAAGAGCTCGCCATTACTGATACCTCAGATGCTTACCTCCTCCAAGCGGTGTGCCGGGCTGTGGGGCGTCGAGAATGACCAGACCGGGCGTAAAGATCTGGCCGTTGGCAATCGTAAAGTTCAGGTTCTGGGCCGAGCTGGAGGCCGCGAACAGAGACAGCAGCGTCGCCGCGTACGAAAAGGAAGAAACCATCATGGGCGGGAGAGGGACGCTGCGTTGCAGCTAGACGGCGAGAGGTGAATCGAGACACGCGAAAAACGGGTGAAGAGGACCAGAGCTGCAAGTCCTCGGAAGGACGGCAACAATGAGTATTTAGGCCGCCTGAAGCATCCAAGACTCTGGGAATGACAGGGTCCTGGATTCAGCAAAACGAAGGGAAAAGTGGGAACCGGCCCTAAACCAGAGGGTATTTAGATGCGGGCTCACTCTCAGGAAATGAGCATTTGGCACCCGCGGGATGGCTGCTGGGATGGTTTGGATGAAGAGGGTGGGAGGACGGAAAAACAAGACCAGAACAAGATCCCAAGAGACTGGGACGTCAGCAGGTCTTGACTCTACCAGAGGAGCCGATTCTCTCAGAGGGCAAAAGCCTGGAACCTCCCATCTGTTCCATGAACACCTCCTCGCCCGTTGACAGCGGCGATCCGACACGGCGAACGGCAGATAACCTTGAACTTAAGAGCATTAAAGTCATGCCGTGTTCCTCCCGGATGACAGCAGCGGGCCAGGCGTTCCATCGCGACAGGCTCAGGCTGGCAGGCTCACGATACACGATCTGCCCTTCGTCTGTGCATGACGTGGGCAAGGGCAGAGCGAATGGAACACGACAGAGAAGCCATATAACAGCTGGGAATTAAGATGGCAGCCCCGCGGATGTCAAAGGGTGCGACGCCCTCTTGATGCAGGGCAGGTTTCAGATTGAACAGGCGTAGAGACGGTGGAGGACGGATTCCTGCAATGTCCATGAAGTCGAATGGTGGCCCCCGTTGGATGGAAATGAGACGCTGCGACGCACGAGCCAACGCCTAATTAAACCCACAGCACACGCTTTACGCCAAACCAGTGGAGCATTTGGCCCCCTCGGTCTCTTCGGTTCGCTGTTCCGCTGCCAAGGGCCCTCACCTAAACCTCTTCCTCTCTTGTTTCCATTCACCCATTTCATCACAGTTCATATCCATTGATTGAACCCACAAATTCCTTGATACTTCACTCACCCGAGTGAGACATGTTCCTGTTTCTATCATTCTTGATGGCTGAGTAGCGCGTCTGAGGCGAAGAACACGTGAACGTTTATTCTGACTTGCTGCCGTTATCTCATTTCTTCAGCGTTGAATCCCACAAAATTTTCAAGTTGCACGGCCTTTGTACGGCCTATGCCTGGGGCAGAGCGTGACGAGACTCGCCGCTCTTGCACTGGTTGAGAACAAGTCCCTGATCCCATAAGATGAGGACACTTTCTCCTGTATTTCAGAGGACAAGTCGATCGCAGTCAAAAGTATGTCCTTATGATGCACTGCGGTGAGGTAATAGTTGAGGATAATAATAAGACTTACGGCGCTGAAAGTCTAGGTTAGGTCGATCGAGCTTGATCTGATAGGCCGGACAGTGTGGTTCAGTGGATCAAACCGTGTTCTTCAGTGGATCGCCCTCCCGATTACATTGTCTTCGGGAGGGCGTGTGCACTTCGGCCGGTTCCGACCTCATCCTCAATTCATATAAAAGCATCCCGGCCTTGCTTGTACAGCATTCGGCTCATACGCATCGCGATAGCATCAATTGGCCGCGTCTGAACTATCTTGGACTCACTCATACATTACCAGTCCCTTTCGATTCTTTGAACGGTCTTGCCACCTCCGAAATCCGCGCCGTTAGCTACCTGTTCGTTGCCTGCACGCCGAGTGCCGAGGCACGCTCCAGCCAGCAAACATGATCGTCCCGCGCTCCTCTTGCCGGCTGGCGAGGCAATCACTCTCACAGCTTCAGCTGTGCCGGAGGTCAAATCGCATCGCCCCCGCCGGCACGATCCTCGGGCGCCAGACACAGCGGTACATGAGTGCCGCCGCTTACCAGACCCCCGCCGGCTTGAAGGATCTTCTGCGCGTATCGGACGAAGTCGCTGACGCCGTTGCAACGAACAAGCCCGTTGTGGCTTTGGAGTCTACCATCTACACTCATGGTGCGCTAGGCAATGACCTCGGTCTTGAGGACGTCGTCCGTCAAGGCGGTGGTGTGCCTGCTGTTTGCGGTATCCTCAATGGGCAACCTGTCGTGGGTTTGAACGAGGAAGAAGTTGCTTTCATGGTCAACTCTGGAACTGCCAGCAAAGTTTCCAGGCGAGATGTTGCTCACTTGGTCGGCTTGGTAAGTCCCGTCACATGTGGTCTGTTCATTGCATTTGACTCGCTATTTGAGCTGTCCTCACGCCCACTGAATCCCATGCCTACGTGAAAAGCACGTTCACTAACACTATACAGGGCATGACCGGTCGTAAAGTTCACGGCGGCACAACCATCGCCGGCACGATGCTCCTCGCCCGCCTCGCCGGCATCCGCATCTTCGGCACCGGCGGCCTCGGCGGCGTCCACCGCGGCGGCGAAAACAGCATGGACGTCTCCGCAGACCTCACTGAGCTCGGCCGCACCCGCGTAGCCGTCATCAGCGCCGGCTGCAAGGGCTTCCTCGACATCCCCCGCACTCTCGAGTTCCTCGAGACCCACGGCGCCTTCGTCGCCACCTTCGCCGACGGCCGCACCGGCAAGGTTGATTTCCCCGCCTTCTGGGTCCGCGAGAGCGGCACGAAGAGCCCCCTCGTCGTCGAGACCGAGCGCGAAGCCGCCGCCATGATCCTTGCCCAGGAGAGGCTCAACATTGAGTCCGGCATGCTCTTCGCCAACCCCATCCCCGAAGAACACGCGATCCCTCGTGAGGAGATGGACGTCGTCATCGAGACGGCAGTCAACGAGGCTCTGGAGAAGGGCTTCACGGGAGCCAGAAACACCCCTTACGTCCTCGGCAGGATTAGGGCGCTGACAGAGGAGAGGAGCACGCTGGCTAACGTGGCGCTGGTGAGGAACAATGTGGCGCGGGCCACCAAGATCGCCGTCGAGTTGTCCAAGATGCTGAACGAGGGCACGGAGTCCGTGTAAGTGAGCTGCTCCGTGTGTATATAGCCCAGCCAGAAGATAGGTTCTGACTGCGTAGATAGCTCTCCAAGCAAATTATTTACCGGATATGACACTGCTGCAAAGCCTGCGACGAGAGTCGAAGCCCCTAAGTCGAGCAAGGCGGATGTCCTCGTGGCAGGCTCGGTAGCTATCGATCTAAGCTGTGACTACCATCCTCTAGGCGGCGTGAAGGAGGTCTCGCCTCACATGCACACTTCCAACCCCGCTTGTATCAACCAGTCCATCGGCGGTGTCGGTCACAATGTTGCCCTCGCCGCACACAGAGTGAGCAAGGATGTGAGCGTCCGCCTTTGCAGCATGATTGGAGACGACGTGTAAGCTATCTCCCTTCCCCTATTCGCATCTTACATGACTGAATTCCCCGCAGCGCCGGAAAGACGGTCCTGTCCTCTCTCGAGTCATCCGGCCTCGACACGACCTACATCCGCCAACTTGGGTCCGAGTACCACCACTCGAACCGCACCGCCCAATACGTCGCCGTCAACGACGCCGAGAAAAACCTCGTGGTCGCCATGGCCGACATGGGAATCTTTGCCAACCACTCCTTCCCCGAGTACTGGAAGTCCGCCGTCTCCGGCGCCAAGCCGGGCTGGCTTGTCGTCGACGGCAACTGGAGCCCCAAGGACATTCGCGCCTGGATCCAGGCCGGCCGCGAGCAGGCCTGTGGCGTCGCCTTCGAGCCCGTGTCAACCGCCAAGTCAATCGGCCTCTTCCCTAAAGAGCATCCGCACCTGGGCGTCTTCCCCAACCCGGGCATCGACATTGCGTCGCCGAACAACTTTGAGCTTACGGCCATGTACACGGCTGCCAAGGAGAACGGCTTCTTCGACACGCCGGAGTGGTTTGAGGTCATTGATGCGTTCAACATGCGCGGCGCGAGGGATCGCTTCGTGCAGCTTACGTCCGCGGAGATGACGGATGCCGGTATTCCGGTGCAGACTATTCATCTTCTGCCGTACATCCCCACGCTCGTGACGAAGCTGGGATCAAAGGGAGTGCTGTTGACTACGATCCTGGGACGGGACGATCCCCGTCTCAAGGACAGGAACGAGGAGAGGTGGCTTCTGACGAGAGCGCCTGTTGATCATCCTACTGTCGGAGGCGTCTACATGCGTCTGTTCCCGCCGGCGGAGAAGGTCCCGATGGAGGATATTGTGTCAGTCAATGGTGTTGGAGATACCTTCCTGGGTGTCATGATTGCGGGCTTGGCAAAGGGAGGCAAGGTCCAGAACCTGATTGATGTTGCGCAGAAAGCGGCGGTCTTGACATTGAAGAGCCATGAGAGTGTGAGCCCGGATTTGGGTCGTTTGGATGAGGCGTTGAAGGCTGCCGCGAGGTCTTGAAGGCGGAACTTTCAGGATTAGGACTTCACTGTGGAAATCAGCCAAAGGTCTGGGCAAATTCCAAGTGCAGCAAAAATGCGAATCTCAGGATCGGGAGGCTTTGAAGGACGGTTTCTCGGCATCGTGTATTCATGCTGCAGTACTGCCTCCAGGGTGGTTAAAATTGCAGTGGAAGGAAGGGTAAAGAGACGATGTGACTGAGGGTACGGTAACTGATGGGATTCCTGACCAAGGTGCAGCATGGCCTTTTGTCACTGGGCATTCATGCTGTAGTAAATCTCTAAAGTGGTTAAAATTACAGAGACATCCTAAAAAATTCCACACTGGGTACCCTAACCGAAGGACTTCATGATCATCCGCGATCCTGCATTAGCTTGCTCCAAATTTCAGAAGCGTTGGCGCCCTGATGCCCGGACAGAAGCCAGGCTCGTTATAGAGGAACAACACCAGCAATAGCCTCAGATTCGTTTCAACGGCAACTTTCTGGTTATTTTCAGACATGGTTTTAGGTATAGAAATACACTCTGACCTGAATACCTTAAAATGCTATCCTCTGCCAAGGTCGATGCCCCGCAATGAACTAAGAAAAAGAGTACAGACTCCCGTCATGGTCGGCAAACTCCTGTCCCCAACAATGGCGTTAGTCAGGTCTCTCGATATATCGGCATTTCCAATTGCTTACTATACTGAACCAAGGGAGTATAATTGTTCACTTAGCACACCCTACCCACCTAAGTACGCACCTTGGGTGATAGAATGTGTAGTAGCTCGGTCTGTGGTAAGAATGCTATCCAATCCCTGGCTTCCTAGCTGGGATGAGGGGCAGTGTCCCACTTTCAGCCTGAGGAAAGAGCTTCGTCTCATTGGCTACCAGCCACTAGTGGCTGAAATGACCTGCCAATCAGACTCTGCTTGTGTCTGCAAGGCTGCGCGCCCCCAGTAAAAAAATTCTGGACGTCTTTACAGTCGCCAACCTGCTCCCACCTCGATCGCTGGTGCGCCGAAGACCTCAAAATCCTCGTCGAAACCCCACGATTGCGACAATGGCCAACGAGCAGCCCTTCGAAGAGTTTCCCGACGAGGAGGAGGTCACTTCCTCCTCAGAATCTGAGCAGTCCGAGCTCGAAGAAACCACCCGCCAGCGCAACCCGCAGACTGTCTTTGACGAGAAGGATTCGGACGAAGAGGAACTTGAGCGGCTCGTCCTGGGGGGAAAGGCCGACTTCCGCGAACAGCTCTTCCGCAACGATGTTCTGGGCGATATCGAACGATTGGAGAGGGAGAGGAATCAACAACTTGTCGCGCAAGACAAGACCACACTAGAGGATGCTGCCGACCATGACTTCTTCATGCTCGACACCGGTGTCCCCTCTGCCAAGGGCCCGCAAGCTGGCAAGCAGCAGCCTGCTGCCGCTGATCCCAATGCACCGGCTTGGGAGGACAGTGATGACGAGCGATTGACGGTTTCCTTGGCGACCGCGACAAGGTTACGGAAGCTGAGAATCAGCGAAGGCGAGGATGTCGTTAGCGGCGCCGAGTACAGCAGAAGATTGCGCCAGCAGTTTCTCCGACTGAACCCCCTGCCGAAATGGGCTCAAGAATCCGAAGAGCGCCCCTCGAAGAGAAGGAGGAGATCGTCAGGCGCCGCCTCCGACTCCTCAATCAGCTCCGACGAGGAGGGCGGCGACGATGACCTCTCCGCCGCGCCCCTGGAGAAATTCCTCCGCGACGTCCACCGCCTTGCTGGCAAGGACTCGAACGGCAGAACCCGCCTCAGGCCAGAGACCATCGACATCCAGCGCACGCGCGAGATTCCCGACGCTCACAAGGCCTCTGTCAACAACCTTTCCTTCCACCCGAAATACCCCGTCCTGCTCTCCTCCAGCGTCTCGTCCGTTCTGTACCTGCACCACATCAACCCGACGGCACACCCCACCCCGAACCCAATGCTCACCTCCGTGCAAGCGAAGGGCGTCGACGTCCGCCGCGCCGAGTTCCTCTACCCGTCAGGCAACCAGATCTTCTTTGCCGGTCGTCGCAAGTTTTACCACAGCTGGGACCTCGAGACCGGCCAGGTGCAGAAGACCGCCCGGGTCCAGGGTCACCAACACGAGCACAAGACCATGGAGCGCTTCAAGCTCAGCCCTTGCGGCCGTTACATGGGTCTCGTTGCGTCCACCAAAAAGGGCGGTGGTATAGTCAACATCATCAGCACCGAGTCCAGGCAGTGGATCGCCTCGGCGCGCCTTGACAGCAGGCACGGTATCGCGGATTTTGTTTGGTGGAGCAACGGTGAGGGTCTCAGTATTCTCGGCAAGGACGGCTCCGTCGGCGAGTACTGCGTGGATGACCGCAAGTTCCGCGCCGTATGGCATGACGAGGGCTGCGTGGGCGGCATCGTCATCGCGTTGGGAGGCCACCAGGGCCCTGAGTTTTTGGGCGAGGACAGATGGGTGGCTATTGGTTCCAGCAGCGGTATTACCAACATTTACGACCGCGAGGCGCTCGTCACGAAGTCCAAGGCGGGCGAAGTCAAGGTTGTGGAGCGCCCCGAGCCGACGCGCACCTTTGAGCAGCTCGTCACGCCCATCACGACGCTGACATTCTCTCCGGATGGCCAGCTGATGGCTTTTGGTAGTTATGAAAAGAAGGACGCGCTGCGCTTGGTGCACCTGCCTACTTGCACCGTCTACAGGAATTGGCCCACGGCGCAGACGCCTTTGGGCAGAGTCACTGCTGTTGCGTTTGGAAGGCAGAGCGATCTGCTGGCGGTTGGTAATGACACGGGCAAGATTAGACTGTGGGAGATACGGTCCTAGAGCAGAGAGTGCGGGCAGGAAGTTTGTATAGACGGCTGGCGTATTAAAAGTTGGCTGCTGGGTAATTACTGTTTCCATGAATACCAGAATCCCTCCATACCCCTCCATCGATTCCTATCCATCTCTGATTCCAATCCCAACCCAAGACAAATGGCCCAAGTTCGTTTCCATACTTAGTAGCAGCGACTGAGCTCACGCATGAGGGCGCGCATGGGAGTTCCGCGGGTAATGAGATCCTTGGGAACCAACTTCTTGCTCTTGCGCGACCAGTGGGCAAGCTTGTAGACGTTCTTGAAGAAGATGACGTCCTCGGGCTTGCGGATGGCGTCGAGGAACTGACGGATGTTGACATCAACAGTTCTGATAGCCTAAGAGATGAAACCCGTGGAGTTAGCAAATATTCGAAGGTAATGAAGTCTCAGGCACTTACCTTGCGACACTTTGTCTTGCTGGGCAGGTCGGCGGGCAGACCCAAGTCACCGCAGAGGCGCTGCCAGTCGTCGAGGTCACCATCTCCAAAGTACTCATCCCAGTCCGAGATTAGCTCAGCCAAGAAGGCCTCCTTCTGGGTCTTCTTGTCGGTCTCCTTGTCGGCGATTCCAAGACCAGACATCTTCTGGGTCATCTCTTCGTTGAGCTTGTCGACCATGTTCTGCGCAACCTTCTGGGCGTTTTGGAGACTGCGGATCTCATCGTCGATCTGCTTCTTGGCGAAGGTGACCTCGGCCAGGGTCTCGGCCAGCTTCTGCTGGTTCTGGTCGGAGATCTGCTCGTTCTGGTTGGCGACATCAGTGTCGGCGTCCTTCTCCTGCTCCTTCTCCTGGGCGCGTCTCTCCTGGACACGCTTCTTGTAGGCACGTCTCTTCTCTCTCTTCTTCTCTCTCTTGGCGGCCAGCTTCTCGTCGATATCCGTGGTCATGTCCTCCTCTTTTTGGTCGGTAACCTCCCCGTCGGCCTGCTTATCGTCGACGGTGGGGCTCTCGGTGACGCCGTTGGCAACAGCATCGCGGACGGACTTCTCGTCGACAGACTTTTTGTCAGACTGGTACTTGAAGGAGTACTCGTGGACGAACTCCCAGTCCTCGACATCAGAGCCGGGCTGATCGACCTCTGGAACAAGGCCGCCGGTGTTCTCTTGATTAACCTTATCGGTAGCCATTGTGTTGTTGTGGGTGCAATTATTTGTGAAGCCAAGCTGTCAATCCGAAGAGCTGTCTGTGCAATTCCACCTCAGTAAGGTGGTTCCTCTGAGCAAGAAGAGGCTGATTAGATGGAGGTTCGTTCCTAGGGACGTGTCGGGGGGAGAGCCAGATAGGCTGCCAACCTGTGTTGTTGGGTTGTGATGATGTGTGGTGAAAACTTCAGAGAAGAAATCGGAAGCAAAATACAGGGAAAGGTCAAGGTGAGATTTAAATCAAGAGGTCACAAATGAAGAAAAGAGCTGCAAGGTCCCGTTCGACTTGAAGGATACCGTTTGATGGCCTTCGACATAAGGCCTGCCAAAGAAAGTAATGCATGGCCAAAGAAGCGGGCTGCAACGGCAACAGGTGAACCCAAAGAACTGCGCAAAACTCATATCAGAACCACGACAACGTACTGGAATGTACGGCGGCATGGTAGTTCCGTCTGTCTTTGCTGGGGAACCTCACTGACACGGATGCTAAAGTGCCAGGGAAATGATTGAGATCAAAGCTCGCAAAGATGGCCTGACCAAAAGACTCAAAGACTCAGGAGATTTGAATTAACAAATTCATTTCTCTGCTTTTGAGTCTTTAGACGAACGATGAGTTTTATCTTCATCACAACTGACACAGTGTGTCTGAAAACTGATACCAGGGTTTGAAATAGAATATTCACCGATATAACAGACAGATCACAGCCAGTCATATAAGTAAGTGAGATGAGTTGAGCCTACAGCAACTGGAAAGTCCTGCCAGAATGATTCATGGAGCTATCATGTTTAGCTTTTGCGACAGATCAGATATGATAACTGTGGTCTTTGTGATACTCTGCGAAAAGGACTGTCTTGCGCATCCTTGCTAAGCTTTAAGAGCTAGTTCATTCTTTTATTCTCACTTACAACTTGATGCATCTCATCTTGTGTGAGGTTACAGCAGAAGCTAATGAGCCTGAATCGCTTCTTGGGATGAGGACTATATGACCTGAGTGCCTACTTGAGACTAAGTCCTCTCCACGGCTCTCATACATAGCCTTCCTGAGATGTAACTGGCAGACCCTCGTGAATGAGCAGCATTGGGCATGAAGGGTGAAGGACCAATGAAGTAGTTTCAGAGGAAAGCGCCCCCTGCCACCGAGTAAGCATGTGCTCCCCTGTCAGAGCTCTATCAACCCTGAACGGTAAGCAAGATTCAATATCGAAGGGTAGCCTTTGCCTTGAAGCAATGGGTGATCCCAGTACATTCACTACAGAATGAACATGAGCAGCTTCGTTGGTCATGATGATGATAACATAGCAATTGGAGAGGACTTCAGGATTGAGTAGTACAGCTTTTGATTGATCTCTGACGTGCGTGATTCACACAATGTGGCCAGAAGCCTAGTCATGTTGTTGAAGTCGAGACAGCCAGGCAAGGCGGAGGCCGATCAGATAGGAAAAAATCAGTTGAATGCTCATCCTCTCATCACCTCTACCATTTAGCTACAATCCAGCTGACAATGACCGGCCATGAGAGGCTGAAAACAGTCATCGAGCCGAGTCAGCGAAGACGAGCCGATATGTTCGTGCCTTCTAGCTTCATCAGAGCTCCCATTCCATTCCTCGAATGGACGCCATGCAAGTACTTAACGTTGTGGCTCGGCTGTGGCTACCTTGAAAGTAGCTGAGAAACGAAAACCGTCTCATGTCTCGGGCCAGCTGAGCAGCCCATCCGAAGATGACAGGCATCATCGTTTCCAAATGGTACGGAACGAACAGATGAAAAATCTCAGTGTCTTGAAGCCACCGGGGACCCCTCAAATAAAGTGATAAAGTGGGACGAGAACGCTTTGAGGCTGGCAAGCTGGCATCGATGACGACTTACAGGACACAAGTCTGGTGATTAGAGTTCACCAGCTCTTCAACCGTTTGCGGGCCGGATGAACGCTATCTCAAAGTGGTGACGCCAGTAACGTCCAGAGGCTTGACGTCGTGACATCTCTTGGCTGCAGGACGGACTTCCCTAGAGCTCTGGAAGCAGCAAGGAGCTTGAGCCTTGACCTCGATGCATTTCCGCGACTCGATCGAGACGAACTGATCTGTGCGCGCGCACTTAGAGTTTAGGGTTGATCAATGACTCTTTTCGTAGGATGGCTTCTCTCCCAGCGGTGATCGATGTTTCGAAATATCGACTAGCAGACCGCCAGATGCGCGAATCTGCGACTTTGCGACTCTGGACGCCGCCGCGGAGTCTTGATATACCTCAGGTCTGATAAGGGTGAAAATTCACAACCATTTCCCCCACAGTCGCCAATCGTCGGTGAGGGCTTTTGCATGACGGGGCTGCAGAGGGACTGCGCGGGCGACGGTTGGCGTGCACATGTCTCGGAACTACTGCAGAGCACGTAAACGGCCTGCATGTTGCTTGGAATAAAGCCCACTCTGCCATCGGCTCGGGGCGGAGGGGTTGCGGCAGTGGGCACGAGACAGTCAAACAGTAAGGCGGCGGCTGAGAGAGAATGTGCGTGGCTGGAAAGATGACCGCGCAAGAATGACTCTTTGATTGCTAGAGTAGAGAGGAGGAAAAAACGACGTCGTCGTTGTCTTGCTTGGTCCCTGGGAAACTCAGTGTCTTTCGTTCCACACGGTTCCCACTTTGGCGCATTCTGGGTGGGTTGTCCCATCCCATCGGAGTGGACAGAGTGGACTGACCACGCATCGCAGGCGTGGGTTCGACAAGGATGGTGGCGTTGGCGGCCCCGGGGCTGACCGACCCCTTGACACTCTGGGGTGCGGTGCAGCGCCGGTGCTCCTCCTCGCCTTCCGTGTTGGCGTGCAGTTGCGTTTGCGGAGAGCCCTCACTTATGTAATACAGAGCCCCGATTGGCGCGCATTGTGGGTTTTTGTGCTCCCAAGTGTCGCTTCATCTTCATGCAAGGACTTTCATTGGCCAATGCAATGTTATTGCGGGGTGTTTCTCCAAAGCGAGTTGAACGTCAAGATTTTTCCTTTCCTTTTTTCTGCTACCCGTCTTCGCTTCCCTGACTCTGCGACAAGTCTTGGGCAAGCCGCAACTGGGTCAAGCAACGGCTCGGAGACAGGGTGTTGGCTGTTGTTTCCTGGGTTCCAGGTTCCGTCTTGCAGGACGCCCTACCTATCACCGTCAGACAAGTTCCAACGGCTCTTCAACATGCAGCAGCAGAGAAAATACTTCCCTCGCCCGCCCGCTGGTGCTGCTACTGCGAAAAACGTGACCGAGAAGAGATTGAGGTCAGACCGTCAGCCAGGCCCGCGAGCCCGCAGTCACGGCCTGCCTGCTGTGGCCGCCCCTCTCTCCGATCTGTGCCGCGCTTCTCCTCACCCTTGGGCGGTATCTGGCAGCTGGTTCTGACGGAGATCATGCCAGGATCTGGTGACGGATGCGGGTTTCTTCAGGCGCTTTAGCGAGAGTTCCCGACGCCCAGGTTCAGCCCAGGCCGTCACCCCGTCCAGTCCGGCCGTCTCGCGCGCGACCTGGTCTCTCGTCCGCCTGTCGTGCGTCTGACCCATGGGCCTCTGCGAGTCTGGTCAATCACACAGCGCCATCGCTGAGTCGTCGATCGAGTGGTCAAATCGCTGACGCCGACGACCGACTCAGGGAGGAAAAAAGGCCCCGTCGACCCAAACGGTGCGGTTTGCCGCCCACCTGTGCCCGCTTTCGCTACCCTTGTCACTGCAGTTAGTGGTATCCAGCGGTGTTATGCGTTGCAAAGAGGCAGGACACTGCAATGCGAGGCACATGCTAAACACAGCAAAAAACACCGCACAGCATGCAGACGCACGAAGGAGGAGCAGCTCCAGAATGAGGTGCAGCAGTTAGCAGCAGCCGCAGCAAAACGAGGAAGACTCGGCACATGGCCAAGCGGCACGTTTGGCCTGCCTTTTTTCCTGATAGTCGTCGCAAATATCTCATGCAGTCACGCAGCGCAGCGCAGCGCAGCACAGCGCTTCGCCGCACTCTTTCGAGCGCAACGGAACGTCGTGTTGGGTTGTCCTTCGGGTTGCTGAATTCGGACCTGAGATAAGCAAAGGCCGAGACGGAAGTTGAACACGGTTGGGATTGAAGCTGCTGGGATTGAAGCTGCTTTTGTTGTCATGTTGTGTTGTCTTGCCGTCATTCGCTGCGACGGTACAACACAGCAGCCGTCCGGCCGTGTGGCAGTCAATCAATCACCACGGCAATCACTGCGACACTACGGCTTCTTCTTGGGCCTTCAGGTCGTGTTCTCGACCCAAGCAATGCGGGTGTTATTCCACGACCTGCTGCTTGTTTCCCTTCCATTTTCAGCCTTATCCCCACGAGCGTGGAACTGAGATCCTGACCTTAATCTCCTACGGGGAGAAGGGCCCCAAAGAATCGCAATCAGAGGTTGTCCTGCGCCGGAAAGCTTCCTCAGCAGAGGCTTCCCCGGTTGGCCGGCAATTCCCTGTCCTGGACCATAATGGGCATAATCATGCCATGGGTTCCCAAAGGTCGCCCAACCTCTTGCGGCGGCGCGTCACGACCACACCACCATCATTGCCATAACATCTCATACTTATTCCTCGCGTGACCCTCTCCCGCGCATTTGGCTGTTTTCTTTGTCTTGCAAGCCTCTTGCGCCTTGTTCGTGCTTGACATATGCGCTTCCCCAAGCCTTCCGCCTCCTACCCTTTTTCGTCACTTTGAGTCTTCCTTGGTCCTGTCGCTAATACCTTAGCCTTGGAACTCTTGGACCTTGCTTTCCCTATCGTACTACTGCACTTGAATGGATGATTCGATGGAGCCTTCCTGCACTAGGGCTCCATACTTTGTCCTTCTCCGATTCGAAACCGCTTTTTTAAACCCCCGGCGTCCCCCTTCCTCCCCCGGACGCCATCTGAAGTAGATTCGGTTTGAGCCTGGTGGAAACTGGCAACCGACCTCGACTTCACCACCACCACCAACCAACCTATTGGTGTTGCTTCAACCTCAAATCATCTGACGGTCATGGCCGAGGCCGATCTCGTTCGCCCTGCAACGTCGTATTCAGGCGCCTCGGGTATTCAGAGGAGGTTCCTTCTCTCCAGCCCGGGGCGACCTCGAACTGCCTCCGGACTCGGCGATCCTAAATTCGAAAAGACGCCATCGACTGCCTTATCTGTGAAAGTTACAATCAAGTTTCAGCCGTCCCTCGATCTCACCTACGAAAGGCAGTATCAGGCCTCCCACGGCTTCCAGCCGACGGACCAACTATGCCACGCCCTCATCCGACGTCTTACACATTGCTCAACTGAGCTGCTCACCCGCAGAGACTCAACCGCTCTCGAGCGTTCCATTCCTCAAATTGGAGATGGCAAGCCGCTGCGCTTCGAGCTAATCTACCAAATTTACAGAGGAGGACCGGAGCCATGGGCTACCAAGTCCTTCAAGTCATATCAGAAGTTCCCTCTCGACAAGTCAACGGCCATGGAAGTCGCCCGCTCTACCGACCGCATCATCGGTTCCTTCCTCAAGCTCCACGACCGGTCCTTCAGATGGATGCATGGCAAGATACGCGAGAGATCAGGAAGCGAGCTTGAGATCCTCAAGCCCCTGAGCAACCCCGTATCTCTCCTTCACATTCCACAGTCACGTTTCATTGATACCACCCAAGACTGGGAGTTTGTCCCTGGCTACGAAATCACCCTGCATTTCCGAAGTCGATGCAAGTCCCGTAGACAAAGGGAATGGGAACGGACCATCACTCTCAAGAGCACTCAGAGCTCTCCACTAACGCTGTCTCATGGCGAGGATATGGCCTGGGTCTTGTCGACAGCTATGCAACGCTCTCTGGATTCTAGAAAGATGGCCTTCGATAGGCAACATCGGTCCTGCAACAGGTTCGATTACCTGGAAGAGTGTCACCACTCAGAACAGAACGCCGTTCACGTCAACTTCCAAATCCGAAACCAGCTGGGCTTGGATCACAGACATCTCCGCCGTGAGCTCGACAGCAACTTGCTGCTGTTTCAAGATCCCAACGGTCTTGACTGTGAACAGTTTGTAAATCAACTCGAGCACGCATTTACTGCGGTACGAGATGACACCGACAAGGAGCTGAACGAGATGGATGACCTCCGACTGACAGTTTATGAACTCTCTGGCCGCGGTTGGAAGGCAGAGAAACCGTTTGCCGTCTGTCTCGACTCGACTGCTTGTTATTCTAGGAGGACTGTTAAAGCCGTCCTCGATCGAGTACAGACAGGTGTTGCAGATATCCTCGGTGGCCACGACATGAGCATCACTCTCATGGTCCACAAGCGTGGCCATTTGGTTCTGGACAAGACTCTTGTGGCCCGTTCGCCATACTACGCGACGGGACAACGCCAAGGCGAAGATCCTGAGACAATCAAGGAGATGTTCTTGATGAGACTCAAGGACCGAATCCGATCCGACATTTCCATGGTGGTGAAAGACACGTGCTCGCTGTCCGATGCCGAACCCCAGAATATCCGTGTGGTCGAGCGCCCAGTTTCTGCAGCGAATGACCCTGCTGAGATGGAAGCTTTGCCGTCAAGCAGCCCGCTCCCGATCCCGACGCCGCATGGGCCCGTGCCGGACTCCTTCGATGAGAGTTCCAACGAACCGTCCGAACCTTTGGCACGAGATGAAACGCTTCAGAGTGATGGTGGGGTTGAAACGATGGCCGACGGCGTCATAGGCACCGTGGGGCGTTCGCAACAGCCTGAAACTCCTGCCAAAGCAACAACGAAGAGTCTGTCCTTTTCGTCGACCGACGATGCTACTTCTATTTATCAGTCTTCGTCGTCAACTCCTAGTCTTGTTGACAGCGACATTGGTACGCCCCGCGAGAGCTTGTTGATTACGCCCACCTTTTTGCGAACGCTATCAGGCCGTCCTCAGCCGTTTGATGCGAACCCGAATATTGCGGATTCCGAGACCTCCGACAGCGAGCTAATTGAAGATTCAGCCGTAGGACCGTCGACTCCAACAATGGCGCGTTTTAATGGACCACGACAGTTCAACTTATTTGGCAAGGGACCTCGCTCCATCTCCCGGCAGTCTTTGACATCGATTGACTCCGATGCCGACAAGCGCTCGCTGGCTGATTCGCAGCGCACTCCCGAGCCCGAAGATGTCCAGGTGCCAGAATTCAAGTCCGGATTGAGTTTGGTTGAGCCTCGATCAGCACCTGTGGCCGACTCACTCGAGCATCAGCAGGAAATGGCCACCCAAGAGCCTGTTTTCGAGGGTTGGTTGGAGTACTGCTGTGTGCCCATCGAGGAAGAAGAGGTTACCGCGCCTGAGGTCCCGGTCGAAGAGGTGACTACTGCAGCCGAGGAGCCGACGACAGATCCTGTGATTGTCGTCACTCCTGTCGAGGAGTCAACATCAGAGCCTGCGATTGTCATCACTCCCGATGAAGAGTCGACAACAGAGCCTATGATTGCCATTACCCCGGAAGAAGAGCCGACGCCACCGGCATTGCCATCTTTGCCCTTGGAGGGTTACTTGGAGTATGCGACTGAACCAATTATTGAGGAAGACGAAGACGATTCAGACGGCGAATATCACGATGCAGACTCTATCGCACCGGCAGCATTCATGTCTAGTCCCTCTAGCTTTGCCACCGCGGCTGAGACTAGCCTCAACTCTCCCATCAGCCTGGATTTTGCGATGTCCTCTAAGTTCAACGCTGATAACACCACGAGCGCGCCTGACTTCCTCGAGGTGACAAAGACCGATCCAGTTGTCGAGGACGCGGAGCCGAAGCCCGCCTCGACTTCTCAGGTCGATGCCTGTACGTCTTCACATGACACCACCGAGCCTACTCCAATCCCTCTCGTTCTCGAGACTATCGAACCCTCTCCTGTACCCGAAGCCGAGAAGCCTTCCCCGGTTCCCACAGAACCCCGCGAGCCGAGACTTGACCCTGCCGCCGAGATTCACCGGGACCCGTCCTTCCTTGTTCTGAACGAGTCACCGTCTGTATCGTCGGAGGCCCCGCGTACGCCGACGTCAGACTCCGCCTCGTTCAGTGACAAGGACGATGAGCCCCATGAACCCTCCACCCCTCCGCTGATGACAGAGACTGAAGACTCGGACTACTCAGAGCCTTCCGAACCAACTGTGCCGTTTCCCGAATTTGCGGTCGATGATAAACCAGGTCCCGACGACGCAAAGTCAAAGTCACTGTCCCATTGGACACTCCCGAGAGCTTCTTTCACTGCCGACGACTTTATCGACAATTATTTCGGACATCACCGCAAGATGTCGATCCCGCGTGCATTGTATCCACGGCCAAATCCGTTGTACACACTGAAGAATACGAGCACAATGTCTTTGGGCCACGGCCGTAAAGTTTCATTGCCAACAGCGGGTATCTTTGGTATTCACGAATCAAGTCGTCTTGATCTGGGTCTCCGCGGCGCCCTCTTTGGTCTAGCCTCGTTGAAGAAGCAGGGTGGATTGGAGAGAAAGAGGTCGCAGGTTTTGTTGAAGCTCGAGAACGATAAAGGCATGGTCATTGTGCCAGGCAGTCACAGCAATCCAAGCAGTCGCCGCAACAGCGAGGCGAGAGGAATTGGGGGTGCCGGTGTACTAGGACTTGGTAACGCTTATGCGTTTTGAACACACACAAATCTGTACGCGGATGGGGTCGTTGACTTTGGGAGGATCGCAACTGGCATTGGGAGGGATTGGACGGCACATAGGATGACTGGAAACTGGGAATCTTGGGTTAGGGGTTTGGAGACGTTGTCCGGATGGGATTCCGTTGACTCTTTGCGATTTGGCGTTTTGGGGGCATTTTCTAGAATTTGGAAAGATTCCAATTCATCTCGCAAGCGATGCATGGCGGGCACAGTTCATTTAGAGAAAGAGGGCAGCAGCTGGACACCCGCAGAGGCCGGCCGCAGCAGCAGTGCTAGACATGCACGAGTATTGGAAAATGTATCGAATTTCTTGCCATCATACCTCATGATTCTCGTGATCTATCTCCAATTTGCAAGCACCACGGCGAGTATGGTTTTCATCCAAACTACAACAGCACCCTACATGAAGGAGCTGTGTCGATTTGCCCCTCCTTCCCGGCCTCCTTGACGGAATCTGGCCACTTTTTCCTGTCTGACCACCATTGATTGACGTTGATCTTGTAGCTCGGCAACGCGGAGATGCTCAGCCTGACGCCGGAGAGGCCCGACGCGGGGCAGACGTACGACTGTCATTTCCGAACACGCGGGGGGCCATCCCCGGGCGTTCGTCCCCTTCAAGGCTGAAGTTCCCCAGAATAGTCGACTGACCCAGGATCCTTGACCTGGATTGACATCACCACGTGGGCTTAGCGAGAGAATGTCAGGCCACCCTGCGCAAGGCAGGTAAGCGCCACGAAGGGAAGGGTTGTCGCCAACTCTCCGGCTTGACCCGACCATGCAGTCACCGCGTCTGCCGTGACCCCGGTATCCGCGTCGGCGAATGCATGCTTCGTAGCCCGTATTGTATGTCCATTCCGCGATCCAACCGCTCAGACGAGCTCCGCGTCGCCCGAATCAACCACGGTCTTGGCGCTAGACCACCTCAGGATCAAAATATCACCTGTCTTGCCGTCCACAACACCATCTGAATCAGTGCCCTTTCCTTCCACAGCCACGTCCCGCAGGAGTCGGATGAATACGGCCGTGTCCAGGTCTGGACCGTCAATCATGCTGATGTTCCCCGCCGTGTCGTTCAGATTCTGCAGTGCGGGCGGGAAGGACGACAGGAAGGACGAGAGGTAGTGGTTATGCAGAAGGGCCTGATGGCGCGTCGCGTAGGCCAGCTCCGTCTCAGACAGACGGCCGCGAAGGAGCGGGGAGGAGAGGTAGTGTAGGGCGTGCTTGTCGATCTTGGCGATGCGTGCGCGGAGGAAGCTGCGGACGAGGTACTTGAAGCGCTCGAGCTCGGTCTGGATCACGATCAGGGCGAAGTTCGTCTTTGGGTCCATGTCGCCCGTCAGGTCTTCCACTTTTTCGATTTGGGTCTTGATGCGGGCATTGACGCGTTCGAAGAGGTTGTCTGGGGGCCATCTGTATTGTTTCACGATAACAAGTCAGTTTCGTCTCTCCTTCGCCAGCGTCTTTCTTCATTTGGTTCAGGTTGAGGGGGTTTTTACTCGAGGAGCTCTGGGGCGGAGCGTTCTGCCACCCAGGCGCGCGTCAAGGCTTGCAGGTCGCGTGTCTCTGCGGGGATCGAGTAGAAAACGGGGTCGACCTCCCGAAGGATGTCGTCGATATCCATTTGTGGCGATGGTGCTGGTTTGGCCGGGGTGCGCTATGGCATTGTGTGAGGTTCAGTGTAGAACGCGACGGGAGTCGAAGACTCGGTAGTGTGGGATTGGAAGAATGAGAATCGCGGGGTGTAAGGCAATTCACAATTCGATGGTGGGGTCACACGTCGCGCTTGCACTGTGGATGCAGCTCACTGCAAGGGTCTTAAGGGGTACATTTGGGGGTATCGGGAAGAGACTGTGGGGAAAGAGTAACTCTGTATCTTCATGGTCGAGAGTTCAGCTATTCACTGTTTAATATGTCCCCCCTTTCGACTTTTTCTTCAGAGTTCTCTGCTACCATGATTTGCATAGCGGTTCGAGTGAACAAAGCTGCATCGGGATCTGTTCCGCAGCTCCATGCTCTCAGTGGGGAACTGGCATCACAGCTGGAACACAGGCAGTGCCTTTTGATGTTACTATGACGAAGCTGCACGGAAAGCTTATGCCGAGGCATCTCACTCGACCCCAACTCCGCGGTCCCCGAAGTGTTCATAAATTGCTAAACAAATCCAATCTCACTTTAACAGCTCTCGGACTCGATTCACAGATCAGCTATCATCTTGCATGTTCCCCGCTTGTTCAACAACTCTTACAAAATCGGCAAAGCTATCAATTCCGGTAGACTCATCAAATTCCTATCACAACCGTAGACTAATTCACTTTTCACAATGGGCGACGAAGGCGAAGGCCGCCCTCCCTATTCCTCCTATGCCGTCAGCATCTACCAACAGGGCATCATGACGGGTCAATTGCCCATCGTGACGACAGACCCCAACAAGTTGGAGGAACAGGCCAGAAAGGCCATGGGCAAGGAGTGCTTCGGCTACGTCTTTGGAGGTGCCGGCGAGCTCTCTACCATGGACGCCAATCGCCTCGCTTTCAGGCAGTGGAAGATCATTCCTCGTTTCTTGAAGCCAACCAATCCACGAGACTTGAAGACTGAGCTCTTTGGCGTGACCTACGGTACGTCTGAATCCCCAGGGGAAGTGGCTGTTCAAGGCTAAGACATGCCCAGAATCACCGGTCCTTATGGCTCCCATCGGTGTCCAGGGTATCTTCCATGAAGATAAGGAGACCGGACTCGCCTCCGCCTGCGCAGAGCTTGGCGTGCCCTACACCCTCAGTACAGCTGCGACCTCTACAATTGAAGACGTGGCGTCCGTTATGGGCGACAGTCATCGTTGGTTCCAACTCTACTGGCCCATGGACGACGATATAACTGGCTCTCTGCTGCGAAGAGCAAGGTCTGCAGGGTACAAGGTTCTCGTGGTGACTCTTGACACCGTGACATTGAGTTGGAGGCCTGCCGATCTCGATTCCGCCTACCTGCCGTTCATAACCGGCACGGGCAACGCGGTCGGCTTCAGCGATCCTGTCTTCCGAAAGAAGTTCGCGGCGGAGAACGACGGTGAGGCGGTCGAGGATAACGTGATTAGCGCATCCCGGTACTGGATCAGCCAAGCTTTTCCGGGTGACCATCACGCTTGGAAAGACTTGGCTCTTCTCAAGAAGAACTGGGATGGGCCCATTGTTCTGAAGGGCGTGCTAAGCGTAGAGGACGCCAAGTTGGCTGTTGAGCATGGCATGGACGGCATCATCGTCAGCAACCATGGCGGAAGACAACTCGACGGCGGCGTCGCCTCGCTGGAGATGCTCCCTGAGATTGTGGGTGCCGTAGGCGACAAGCTTACCGTCATGTTCGACTCGGGCATCCGCACTGGAGCGGATATCGCGAAGGCGCTCGCATTGGGGTCTAAAGCTGTCTTCATTGGTCGGCCTGCCATATACGGCCTGGGCATCGCCGGCAAGGAGGGGGCGAAAGCCGTTATTGCTGGCTTGATGGCTGACCTGGATCTGACTATGGGATTGTCTGGCTTCAAGAGCGTGTCGGAGTTGAAGCCGTCCATCTTGCGCCAGGTTCGTTATGGCGGCGACGTTAAGGCTAACCTTTGAATGTGGATCGCGGCAAATGGATGAAAGCATCCCTCTTTGGAATAGAAAACCCATCGTTAGGCCGACATGTAAGCTTAATTGGAAAGCGTCGATCGCAAGCGGTCCCCATCCAAGCCCAGCGTTGACAACGTCGTGGTGCGGATGGCGACCAGTCTCGGAATGCATATCATCCGGTGATATTGAGGACGGGAATGAGAGATGCCACCAGGCTAACCCGTCGGCTGCTGGCGTTGCCTCGGGCTAACATACTCTAATGCAAGCACCAATCTCATCGTGCACCAAAAACATTCCAGATCTGCTCCCCACTCTCTGAGCATTCCGGGCATTCATCCGACCGAACTCCTTCGTTGACCCAAGCTTCGGTAGTCATTTCTGCCCATCCCTGGGGTAAAAGCCCCTCAGTCACTAACACACTTGAATTCATGGACAATGTCTCACGCTGCTTCGGGCCCATCGGACCACCTGGCTGGCCCTCTTCTTCCTGGGGCGACACGATATTGCTTGATGGCAACGCGCCAAGTGATGAGGTCGATCCTTTCTGCTTGGAATGCAACAACTAGTCTCCACGAGATTGACTATTGTTAGCATGCATCCAGTGAGCCCAATAGCCTCACGGAACGCTTTCAAGCCGCGGAGATCTGTATGCGATGTTTCTGAGTAATCTCACTGTGAATTCTACGACTGAGCATCATCACAGCCCACATGCTTACAGCCGGGGTGAATAAATACGATGACTGCTCCCAAGAGAAAGAGAGTAACGAAAGAAGTATAGCAGCAGCCCTCTATCCACTTTCCAACTCTACTACATTCTCTTAAATCCAATCTCATAATCTTCGTTTGTATCCTTGTTAATATTAATCAAGATGCGCGCATCGTCAATCCTCATTGCTGCTGCCTCGGCGGCTTCAGTCCTCGGTGCTCCGTTGGAGAAGAGGGCTAACTACGACCCTCTTCCGGGCGGCGATGTAGCCATTCTCCAGTAAGTCCATGTTGCAGGTAACTCTCTTCTTGATACCTGAACTAACCACCCGCGAAGATATGCCTTGGTCCTCGAGTATCTGGAGCGCGAGTTCTACGGACAAGGTCTCGCCAACTACACCGAGGCAGACTTCTGCGAGTTCGCCGGCGCCGATGATGGCAGCAGATTCTACAAGAACCTGAAGAACATCTACGAGGACGAGAAGGTCAGTCTCATCTTGATGAGTGAAGTTTCCCAAACAAGTATACTAATAAACCTGCAGACCCACGTGGACTTCCTCAAGACGGCTCTCGGAACTTCCGTCTTTGACGCACCCACCTTCAAGTTCCCTACCACAAAGGCCCACGACTTCATCGCTCTTGCCTCTGTCCTCGAGGGTGTTGGTGTGTCGGC